GTTCGGGGATCACTGTAGAGGCCAACGGGATTGTTCGAAACCAGGTTGAGCACAATTGCAGCAGGGACACGAACCTGGAAAGAGAACAGGTCTGCTTCCTTCGGCGTCTTCTTAGCCCCTGTGGCTGCTGTATAGTGCCTGCCCCAAAGCTGCAGGATCACTGCTTCATATGTTTTGTCTACGTCTGGATGAGTCTTGTTGCAAGCCGAGCCGCAGTTCTTGCCGTCACAATAGTTCAGCGGTTCAAACATTTTGAGAATTTCCCTGACTGGTGCATCAATGAATTGTTGCCAGCTTCCAGGATATTGATCTCTATAGCAAGTATAGTGTATTTGATGATCGCTGTCGGCAAAGCAGGTTGCTTGGAGACCGATCCAGCTGTGGCCCTGTCGATGTCGATGTCTCCTATGCTCAGGAGGGCACCAAAAATCAAGACTTGCTCACCTGTCACCATGTATTGCGCAGGAAATCGCATCTTGACTGCTCCGGCTTTCTGCATGACTTCTGGAGCTGGTGGTTCGAGTATCAGCAAGCCCAATGCATGCGGACTGATGGACTTGGGCGAATTGAGAAATGCAGCCGCCTCACTCAGTGTGCAAATGGCTAGACCGTGCTGGTCCGCTTCAACCTGCGAGAATTGCAGCTGTGGTATCTGATCACCATTGCCGTCCTTGAACATCTTGGGGTCCAGAACCAGCTGCGAAGGAATGAGCTTCTCAGTGACAGCTGCTTTCGAGGAGGATGCCTGTTCCCTTTCTTTCTTGTCCTTGTGGTTCTTAATGTTCGCACCATGTTTGGTCGAGGCTCGCATCTCAATGTATTGCTTTTCCTCCTCTGACAGAATTCTCAAGGAGACACCTGGTTTACTGGCTGAGCTTTTGAGCGCAGCCCGTGGATTTCGATCTGCCAGGATCTTTGTCACTTGTTGAATGCCCAACCTCTGGAGAATGGTCTGAGCCCTGGCGGTCTTGGCCTCCTCAGGGACCCCCTTGCTGTGAATCAACTCAGCAAGCTGGGCTTGGATGTCCGGGCCTGCTCCAATCATCGGCCAAGTGAGAGTTGGCGAAATGAAGGTCAGATGCAGCTGACTAGGGATTGTAGTTCTCTGGCCCAGAATCGCAGCGTGCAGAAGGATGGCGTCATGCTCGTTGAAGTGCTGGGAATTGTCCAAGAGACTGGCAACGTTGAGTACTGCAACTGCCCCACAATGTGTTCCATGGGATTGTCCAACTCCCTTCTTCAGTTGAATTGTGTAGCTTGCACACGAAAGAGCCCTGCTGACTCTGGCGAAGAAGATGTCCATGTATGCCGTAGCCTCGGATTTGTGGCTATCCAGGATGGTAACGAAAAGGTGTCCTTTCTCCCGATGCACGAGGAAGGCACTCCAGTGGAAATCTTCCCATAGGATACCAAATCGACGATCTTGTTCGAGGCCACCCTGTTTCCACTTGTCCAGGATGCGCTGATGTGCTGCATGTGGCCAGACTTCGACTGTGTCAACAATCCATCTCGCCGTCCAGAAGAGGTCTAGTGCCAGACCCTTTTGCTCCAGAAGATTGCGAGCATAGTTCTCAACCTCCTCTTCATACCAACCTGTTGTCAACGGATCGTTCTGCGAGATGCCTTTGCCTTCCAGCTGAAATCGGAGAGGCCAACATGGAAAGGAGTCTGCGTCAACGGCAACGTAACTGGGAAACCAGATCCGTGTGTCCATAGGCACGATGTCACCTGTGAGATTGTCAAAGGCTGTAGGTCGCTGATCTGCGATTTGATCAAAGAACTCAAAGAGCATGCTGCCACGAGGCAACAGAGCAATGCGACTTGTACCATGAACCTTGAACTGCAGGAGAATTCGAGCCGTGTGAAGGTCAATCCTGCTCTTCTTGGCCAAGTGTTCAACCCTCATACCATGTTGATGCTCCAGCAAGAGATCAAACCCTGGAACTTCGCCGGAGTCTTCATATGCTCGGACTTTGTGTCCCCATTCGTTGTTGATTCTCTCTGCTCGCAAGAGGTCAAAGACTGTGGCCTCGTGAGTTACCTTGCGCCACCAAGAAGGCTCTCCAGTTTGGTCCAGGCTGATGAGGTGCAAAGAGCTCGATGCATTGAGCTGCATGCTAGCAGTGATGTGCTCCTTATACTCATGCAGGATGAGGTTTGGATCAATTGGCGCAATGCTCTCATCGTAGCGCGAGGCTGCCAAGAGCACATTTCCCATGACCCAGAGCGCTTGCAGGGGAGCTGCAATAAGGCCGAGCAGGCAAAGTGCCTCCTTCTGGTTCTCGGGAAGCTTCATTCATCGGCGTGCAGGTACCTAGGTCTGGAGTTGTCGGGGGAAATCACGAAGCATCCCCTGAGCCCCTTGGTGACCAAACTGGCCATTGCGAACCCTGATTGCCTGCAGCCACACGGGCAGCTCTGCAGTGGTGAGCCATATGAATGGAGTATTGTGTTGCATTTGTCTCCTAAGGTCAACTGCCTTTTGTCCTGACCAAGTCGCGGATCTGCGTAACATTCAATCTCAAGCTCACTCAATAGCAGCTCATGCATGCCCGGATGTGACATAGACAAAAACGATGGCAACACATCACCTATTGTTTGTCTGCAGGGGTCAATTCCCCAACCTGGGAGGCTATCTGGAACATTGTGCGGGTCGGACATAACACAGTACCATCGCCTACGATTCATGGGCCACTGTTGGCCAAGCTCAAGACAGACATCCCTCATGACCCATCCAAAGCTTTCACACAGTTCTTGCAGCATCTGCTTGATGGCTGTGCTCTCTCCCGCCTGCGTCACACATTCCAGCATCAGGACCTTAGGTTTGAGGTATCGAACTGCCGAAATGAGACCTACGAAAGCCCCAAAACGGGCGTCCGCTGAACCTGACATGGCCCCTTGCCTCGAAAAGGGCTGGCATGGAAATCCAGCTGTGATGCAGAACCCTTCAACCCCAGCAACGATGAGGGTGTCATGCAACAATTCAACAACTTTGGGATCTTTGATGTCCCCTTGAATGGTGATCCCACATGATTGGCTGCGGAGGTTCTGACAGGCAAGCTCTCCTATGTCCACTGAAGCGATGGTGTCAAAACCAATCGTCCTCAAGGCATAGCTGACGGCCCCGGAACCTGCGAAGATGTCCAACAACTTCGGGATCAGGGGCCCATTGGGGGAGAAGACCGGAAAGCTTCGGCAACCTGTGGCATCCAAAGTGAGGGGCTCTTCCAAGACACGTCGAGGCCCATAGCAAACAAAGTGCATCAGCTCATGCTCCAAGCCAATGCACCGCCACACCAGGTCCGATTGGACCTCCAGACATTCGATCGGATCGGATCCGATTCGCTGCAGCTCGATGGCGGGTATCGGTGCACCACGCTCCTTCGACATGGCACAGGAAGACCCGATCTGCTGAGCACAGCCAAGCTCACTGGTAAGCTCGGGCCGATGGCTGAATTGTATATTTTTAGAGGAAACAAGATGAAGCAAGCAAGCAGATTCCATTTGGACTTGTTTTGGGCAGACCCAGTGCTTTGCATTGACTCAATCGAGCATGATCCACTCTGAATTGACTTGACATCGCCAGGCATCCTCGCACGGATGTCTTAACACCATTTGTTCCATTCACTTCATTGATGGTGCGGTCTTGACCGTGTTCAGGTTCAGCGACATTTTCCTGATGGTGGAGTCTCTCTTCAGCCAGATTTCAGATTGGTGCAAATCTTAGTCGGCGAGCTGTGATTGGGCATGATTCCTGCCTTTCTACTTTGCTCGAAGCTTCCATTTGTTTTGAGGTGGTGAGCACTCGCTTCACGTTGGAAGATTGCAGACTCCATTTGGCCGACAAGCTTCCTTACTTCGAGGACGATGGAACGCAGTGGTAGCAAGGAAAGGATGCTAGCTTTCTCACCTTGTTTGGGTTTGGAGGGTGGCTCCGCAAGGCTTAAAATCATATTGCGTACTGTGTACTGATGCTAAGGTGGCTGCAATGGTGTAGCCAAATGCAACTGAGTTCATCCAAGACGCACGAACTTGCTCGTCAAACGGATAATGCTGGAAAGACACTGCCACGATCACCACGATCAGCCGAAGTGGCATCCCGGCGAAGGTATGAACAGGATCCACCAGGTCCCCCAAATTTGGGCATTTTGCGGCACGTGCGAGCATAAACTATAAGCGGCGATGACGGCGCTCATTCTGCTTCTACTTGAGCAACGCTACAGCAGCATCAGCAACAGAGAACAGCATGGGCATTGCAGTATCAGTATAGGGTTCAAAACCTTTGATGACGCGTTGGTGGTTGGGAAGTTTGCAAACAGCGGATAGGCCGATAGGTTCCTGCCCTGAGCTTTCAGTTGGACCCGGTAGGAGAGAGAAGCGGAGGCTGAGGTTGTCGAGAAGTTGTCGACCCAGTTCTTTCTCCTTGTAGTTAGATCAGACTAGTCGGACTAGACCCCAGATAGTATTTTGGAAAAGAACGCCCAAAAGGCATACTTATGGGACCACTCAGTCTTGAATACTTCCAACTTAATCCTGAATGCAAATTATGGCTAGGATCAGGGTCTGCTCCACACGAAAGGTTTTCAAAACCTGTGATGAATCGGTTGGCGAAAAGTTGCGATTTCGTTTTTGGCTCCACTGGCTCCCGGCGATTTTCAGGGTGTTCTAGGATGAGTTTGCTATCGAAGAATCTACACTGCATTTCAAGTCAAAATTCGCATGTTGCATTTCGAGTTGCAGGATATGGCTGTCATTGAAATTGATCCGCATTCAGTGGCCTGATTGACGCATCAATTACATCAATTGGACGTGGTAGTCATGGAGACCATTTTTGTACCGCTCAAGCGGTCCACTTGGTAGTGTTCTGAAAAGTCCAGCGCGCTGTTGCAGTGGCTGATCCAAAGGTGTGGGCAAAACTAGGTTTTACACTGCGGACCCTTTGGAGTGGAGAAACAGGAAACAGGACCACTCAAGTCACTTTGCGGATCTCCTGGCGCCAGGTGATGGAGGTGACGCAAACTGAAGGCAAGGCCTCCAGGGATGAATCTAGACATTGAAACCTTCTCCAGCTCATGCTGTGGCAACTGCACCTGGGCAAGGATTACAGCGACGCATTCGCGAGCTTGAGGAGTTTCTTTTTGTTGGGGAGTGTTGCACGCTCCATGAGTTGCTGAGAGGACAAGATGAAACGCCTCATTCCGATGGCCGACCGCCTCCGAAAGAACGAAGGCCTTTTTTTGTTTTGCCGATTACTAGCTTTATTGTTGCTACAGGTGAACCGATTCCCAAGGAAGCTTCTAGATATTGTATAAGGACGCCAGGTCGACAATGGACAGGTGAAGGGGCTGGTTGACCTCGCTTACTCTAGCAAGGCCATGCGACTACAATTTTTTCTCGTAGGTGGCGACAACGGATTCTGGAAGAGGGTGATGCGATCTGTGCGCCATAGCATGACTGCGCGAAGAGGTGCCGCCAGTACGTTTTGTTCTGAGAAGTCTGTAGAATCCAATCTATTTGATAGACAACTTCAATTTAGATATATAATTAAGTAATCTCTGGGATGATACAGGATCCTTTGCGATGAAAGCAGATGCTCTCCAGAGAGCGCCCGGGCCCAAGATTACGGTTTTGCCAGGCTTTTTCCATGCCCGTTTTCAACAGTATCAAACTTCACTAGTTGTTTCGGCCTTTGAACTGGAAGTGCAGGTATTCTGAAAGAGGTGACGGATTCCAGACCGGACAACTAGACAGGTTGCAAGGCCAGCCACTTGGTGTTTGAAGCTATGTTTGGAAACCCAGCTCTTGCGATGAGGAGAGCTGTCCTTGATTTGGCAAGCACTTCCTCCGAAGCCAGCAAAGCTTGTAGTCCTGCCTGAATTGGAGAGACTTCTTGAGACTACCAACTCACGAATCTGAATGGCAGGCCGCAGGAACCCTTCTTCTCAGGCCAATGGCACCTCAGGCACTTGCTGGAAAGCATCACTGAAAGTACATTCAGGATTGCCATGAGTTTGTTTCTTCGACTAATGAGTTTAAGTGACAGGTGGGGCGCGTATAACAAGCCACGTGTTCCATACCACAGAGTTACATACCACAGAGTGACAGAGTATGAATTCCTTTTATGCAAAGAAGACAAGAAGCGGTTTGTATAACCTGAGACAAACGGTTTCAATCCAATCTGGCGGTGCATCATGCATGTTTTTGGTTTGGAGAACATTGTTTAGACTTAAGGCAATCCATTCGAAAATGGCTGTGTTTCCACAGAATCAGGGCAACACACTGCAGTTGGAGTTATGCTGAGCATTTCTGCTGCTGGGATTGTTTTGTTGATGTGCTTTGTTTGCATTTTTCTTGATGCTTTTTGACCCCACAGGTGAAGTTTGGAGGTTTAGCTTCATTCTGTGTGGCTCCAACCAGCGTTTCCTCACTTGCGCGGCGGCCAACCATGTCTCCGATCATACCTTGTACAGAGAACATTGTTCAACAACGTACCTGTGCCCCTCTACCGCTTCTTTCACAGCACAAACATCCTTGTTTTCGCACGGTTCTCCAAAGGACAGCATTCTCTGTAATTACTCAGAACATGAGGTGTTTTTCTGACTTTTTTCCATCATGGACATGTTGGTGGCAGGAAAGCATGAGCTTGATTACACGACCAGTTTGAAGACTGCGTCAGCCTATCAGTGTTAAAATGTACCTGATGAGCAAGACCATCCCTCAAAAGGCTATATGTCAACATAGGTGCAGCGACAGGACACAGGTACAATCAGGTACATATGTACAGTGTTGTATCTACAAGAACCCCCAAACGACTTGTGGCTCAAGCCCATGCTAGCGAGAAACGGCTACATGGCACTTTGAGGTGGCCATTACATTCCTGCCCGCATATGCTGATATACTGATATACTGACTACCACCCACACGCAGGTTATCAGCCGTAGCGCTTGCGCTACGAGCTACGAGAAGACCACAACAACATTGACCTGCAATTGTCAAGCTTTGGAAGGAAGCGCAAGCGAACTCTTTTCCTTCGCTGCACGCTGGATCAGTCAGCATCGGAGTCAAGAATGATGACCAGTGGTACTGTCAGCTCGCACGATGCCACTTTCATAGCCATGCCAATGGGTTGAGTAGTCTCGGGACAAGGTATTGCCGATCAGGCAACACGAGAACATCGAGGGCAATGAGACGCTTTGTGAGATCGTCATCACCAAGAATGCCATCCACGAGGACGCCAAGGAGAAGTATTGAGAAGCCGAGAAAAAAACCGGAAGACCACCAAGACTTCAAGGGCAGCAGGAGAGAAGTGAAGTTGCTAGAAGAATTGAAATCGTGGAAAGTGATGTGTGATTTGCAGCACGAGGAACACAATTTGTTGCAATCTGGGCCATCAAGCTCTATTCAAGATGTCACGCGAAGAAGTGCTGCATGTATCTACACTCACATTCAGTGATCAGGAGTACATGAGGAACTTCAACCTTCTCGACAAGAACACGACTGCCAATATAGATTGCCGGAGATGTTGTTGAGTTTTGGCTTGACACGTTGGAGCTTGCCAGTGTTTTCCAAGATACGCTATTTAACGATTGGGCCGTGGAGAATGATTGTAGGAGAGGCAGTGTCCTTCCTCACCTTCTTTGCTTCAAGCCAGAAAAAGCACAACGGACGGTCAGAAATGTAACTCCACTGTCCAGCGAACGCAGGCTCAACAGAACGAGTTGGTTTTCCAAATGGTGCAGGCGCATTCAAAGCCAGCGTGAGACCACATCCAACATTGATGAGTCCTCAACAACCACAAGACGATGCAACGCAGAATGGTGTCGCCGATAACGGCTTGAACACGAAGTCCTGAACCATGCGTTGGCAGACTGGCCTAACTAACAATGACATGGTCTCAGAACAAAAGGACAACGCCCCCAGACAGTTTCAGATGATGGCAAGGGAGGTATACCGCAGAAGATGTTGTTTGCGTCGCTGGTTGGCCTACTGATCACTGTCACGACGTCGACAAGTGCAACACTCCCGGTGTGCCGGAAGAGAAGAATGAAATCGTCGCCACGCTCAAACACATAAGCCAACGCTAACTGAGGACAACAAAGCTGTCGCCCGGAATCTCGGGAGAACGCTAGATTTCCGTGACCTCTCCGTGGAGGGGACGAAGCCAAGAACAGCTGCGGAGAATGAAAGCTCCATAGACAGATGATCGACGAGCGGAACATTTCACGAAGAAAGCGTGTAAGTAATGGCAAGCGTCTGCGCAAGATTCGATACGCCTCTCGATTTGCGAGTGACTGAAATGAAGGCAGTGAGTTCAAAGTCGCAGGTCGCAGGTGCGAGGATTGGTGAGAGGTTTGCGCAAGCCAGTGGGCGCAAGTTGCCCAGATTCGCACTTTTTGGGCCTCGCCCCCATCGCCTTCAGGCGGCGGAAATGGGAAGTCCAGCGATAGGAATATAAATTACACGGTATCATACAATATCGAATGGGTGATGTTCTCCGAGCTCGCTTTGGTTTGAAAGCTCAACGTGAAGAAGCAATGATGCTTCCCTGAACCACCAGTCGTTTTCAGATCAGCTTGGGAACTTTCTGGTATCAGATCGTGTGTGTAACTTCTCGCTTTTTCTTCAATGATTGCCATCTTGACCTACATGCTCGAATGGGGCTACATCCGGACGAAGATCTAGTGAGTGGCTCTGACCATAGCTAGTTAATTTTCAAGCGCAGGTCTGAGCTTCGTACTTTCGGTAGAAGAGGTTGCGTTTGTTTTGCCAGGCTCAGTAGGCGGAACATCGAGGTTCTCGCGGCCTATGATCTTATTTTCCAATTGCACGAGTGAGTTTCACATGCATGGGGTGTGTCAACGCAAGTGCAGCGAGAGCACACGTGTACGTATGTACGCTGCACAGTGTTGTATTTATAAACACACCCAAAACCCATGCTAGCAAGAAGAAGAAGAAGAAGAAAAAATGCGCGGAACACTTTGAGGTGGTCGTTGCGTGATTTCCTGCGTGGATATACTGATTAACACCCCGCACTATACACAATGGTTGTACTATATAACAGCTGTCAACGTACACAGGGGTCATGCACACCTGCCAAGCAAAGCAAAATTGGACGGTCTGCTCTTGCCTTGCTGCCAGCTTTTATTCTGTCAAAATTGTTTCAAAACCAACTTCATAATCTCAGATTAGCTGCCAAGTGAGATTGCAGCTATGTACAGCGAATCAACGGTTTGATGCGATGCCCGTCATAGTGCATGAACTTGCCACAAAACACATCAGCGGCGCACCAGCTTACCATAGTAGACCACTACCTGACCAGCGGCGGGATTACAATATGCCAGCAACACAGCGGTTTACCAAAATCATTAGCAATGCGCACCAGCTTACATAGGCAGCTGGCAGTAGACCTCGCTTGGAAATTTTAAGGCGTTTCATGCTAAAGTTTTCCAGCAAACCGGGGGTTGGTCGCAGGTGTTGCAGGAAGCTGTGCGCAACTACTTCCTGAAGTCCTGTGGCAGACACAGACAGGCCAGCATCGTCCAGAAACATGATCGCGTAGCCAAACATGACAGGATGAGTGAGGTCTCATTGTTTTTTAAATGTGAACTGATAATTTCAGAAACCTCGCCTCTGCATAGCCTGAGTTGTGCTAGGTGGAACAAGCTGTTTGTAACCTGTGTCGATTGGCTACTTGGAATGAATGTCATGTTGGTTGGAGGGTAAACATATCGTACAGATACATGGCATGTTTTTGATGATTTTTGATGTCTCTTTTTAAGGCCCCATGCACATGAACAAACTGCATGGCGGGCACATGCCAACATGGTCAAACTAAACTGAGATTATGCAGTTCGCCAACAGCTCCAAAGTGTTGGCCTCAGTTCCAATTCTGAAGAAACTGCAGTTGTTTTTCTGCGTTGTTTGGCATGCTTGCCTCACCACCTTGCCATCTTGCTTCTCAGGTACTGCTTTTTGCAATCATGTGTCGCCATCCAAGACGAGCAAATTGTTGGAACATTTGGAGATCGTTCCGACTCGAAAGACCAGAAAAAAACCATTCTCAGAGTCTCAGAGTTTCTTCCGAGAAGCAAAGCAAGAGCGCTGAGGCGACATCGTCACAGTTGCAGAGTTGGAGGGTCGCATGCCACAGGCTGGAGAAAATGGGCGAATAGGGCCCATCGGAGCAAATGCATCAACGTACTCCCCATAAGGATCGAACGATGACTAAAGTATCGAGAAGCAATGAATCATTCAAAACACAGGTGATGAACAATATCGAACCATATGTGGACAGCTCGCGGCCAAGCTTTGACAAATTGAGACCAATTATGATTATATACCCATCTTGACCCCAAGTGAGGCTTGAAAGTGGATTATTTGGCAAACCTTCCCTTTGATGCTGGGGGACTCAGTTGTAAAGGGTACATATACAATCGGCTTGGAGCATGCGAAAGCAATCGAAACCAATCTGGATCCATTCAAGATACGTTCAATGTCCAGCTGAGATTGTGTGAGGCAGTCCATACCATGAGCGAGTTCATCTCTGCGATCAAGAATGCAAAGCCTACCCTGCGATAGTTACACAGCGTCAATCTATCTTTGTGTTTTTGGATTAATTCCCTCAAGGTCAGGCCTCAATCCAGCGTGCAATGTAATCAGTTTGCAGGCAATTTGCAGGAGCTCATGACGGGAGTTTGCAAAGGATTCCGCAGCACCATGGTGATGCAGACCACCACCGAGGCTGGCAGAAGCAACAAGCTGAGAACCAAAGAAAGGTAAAAGCAGCAACACGGTATCTACAGGGACTTAATTGCAAGAGCAGTGAAACCCACTGTGACTTTGAAGCAAAAACAAGCTGCAAGAATGAAGTGAGCGCATTGTGGTGCAAGGTCTAGACATTGAGAGGGAAGACATGCTTCTGCCCTGTCCGCTGTGGTCTCAGTTTTTGTTTCTACTTTCTCCCTGAAAGTCCATTTGCGTGCAGTGAATTTTTGAACAAAGCCAGCCTTTCAGGCTGATCCTTGCAGCTTCCTCTATCATTTGCAGCCGCAGCAAGGCAGAGCGAAGTGCGATAATCTCCTCTTTGTTGTCCCGATCAATTTCAGGGGGTTCACCGCCCAAGCATTGCTTGACAGAAGAGGTCAACCCCCACATCACTTAAACTAAACACTCTCAAACTGGGGAAGTGAGCATCCCTCAAAAGACGGCTCTGCTCATTTTCCCGGAACAGTTTACAGGCCGGGCCTACCGTTGGGCTGCATGGAAAATTACAATAAGAGTGATTCCCCACCGTGGCATTTCATGTTTCATGCAGCTGCACTCTTTGTTGGCCAGATTGCCCCAGCGCACACGAGAAGGAGCACTATTAAGAAATCACGAAAGCTAGCACCAGCTAGCTGGAGTTGTCCTTGCTTTAGCAAGTGAGGGGCTGGAATCCTCGAGATCGCCGCATCACGTGAAACTTCATATGTAGAGGCCCCCCCCCCGGCGGGTTCAACTCCCCCCTGGGACGCCTCTGGGACACCTCTTGGACACCTCTTATGGCATCCACTTTAGTTCAACTCCTCCGTGGAGGTTTTGGGATACGATGCAACAGATTCAACAGATTCACAAGCTAAGGTTGGTCATTGCTGTTCGCGTCTTACATGTTCACAACGTTTTTTTTACCTCATGAGCGAGACCTTGTGAACCATCCCTCCAACAGCCCCATGCCTATGAATAAAGAATTGCCTCACTCCGCTTGATGTCCCACCAGTCCTTTGTCACTGGACGGCGCTGTATGCTTCGCCTCCACTGACACGGATGCATCCCTGCTAGCTTTCGTCACCTACCCTCGGCCTCAAGTTCTGGTTGAAAATCACCCGACATGATGAGAACATCTCTGCCTTCCTGACGCACTAATGCAACCCAGCACCAGTTCTCCACCATAACCAAAGGAACATGACGAAATAGGATACATCGCACTGTAATCGCAATGCATTGCAATAAAGTGATCCTTTTGATGATCATGAGAGTTGAAAAGAGCTTGCCAACTTTTCTTCAACCACACCGGGGTAAGCTGCTTGTGCTTCCAACATTGCCTCTTCAGCGAAGTCAGGTCCCACAACTTTTGGAATCTGCCTCCCACTTGCCAACCGGACGTGGTTGGCATGCGTGCTTGATGAGGGTCAGAACCGAATAGTATGTTCCGACAAATGCACGGACTACACGTCACATTGTGAATTCTAATGAATTTTCTTTGCTCTCAACTCTCGACAACGTCAGAGTACAGTATATAGACATTGGGGCCCCATATTGAGCTGGAAGGAACCTAAGGCTAAGGGGACCCTCTTAATTAGGTGAGATCAGCACTTGGTTGGGCTTCATCATCCACCCGCGCCAGAAGATGCTGGGAGCGGTCTTCACCCTCGAAGTGCCCTTGACCGGATCCAGTGGGCGACTTCGGCATGCCCCCTGACCAACCTTCTCCAGCCTCGACAGTGGAAGGGTGCCCTCTGTTCCAGCTGCAAGACCAAGCCAGCAAGCCTTCGCTAAGATCTCCTTCACTTCATGCAGCCTAGGTCATGACTTGAATGGTGCTATAGCGTCCTTGCTCCTAGTAGCGATGCCCTTTGCTACTAGTAGCTTCTTGCTACTACCAAGACCATCCAAAAACTAGAAGCATGTAGGGTAGGGTCTTGAAAAACATTACTTCACGTCGAGTGATCCCCACCATGCCATTTCAATCTGACAATCTTTTCGGTATTGAAGCATTATTTCGGCATTCTTTCGGGCATTTCTTCTGGCATTCTTGCTGACAGTCTTTCTGGCATGTTTTCTGACATTCTTTCTGGCATATCTTCTGACATTCCTTCTGGCATATCTTCTGATTCATTCCGGCATGTCTTTTGACATTCTTTCTGGCATATCTTCTGACATTCTTTCTGACATTCTTTCTGGCATATCTTCTGACATTCATTCTGGCATTCTATCTAGCATATCTGCTGACGCTCTTTCTGGCGTATCTCCCGACGTTCTTTCTGACATATCTTCTGACACTCATCCCGACATCTTCTGGCGGTCTTCTGACACTCTGTCTGGCATATCTTCTGTCATCACTTCTGGCTTATCTTCTGACACTCTTTCCGGCAACTCTTCTGACATTCTATCCGGCACTTCTTCTGGATAGCTTCTGGCATTCTTTCTGGCGTTCTGGCGTCTTTTCTGACTCGCGGTTGAGGTCCAGCGGGGAAAACTGCTGTCCGGAACTGGCGGTTGAGGTCTGGCGGGGAACACCACTGTCGGGAGCTGGCGGTTGAGGTCCGGTGGGGAACACTGCCGTCGGGAGCTGGCGGTTACTGCCGTCCTACACTTGCGGTTGAGGAGGCGAGTAGGAGAAGGAGAAGGAAAAGCACAAGGAGAAGGAGAAGGAGACGCGAAGTAACTTACACTAAAATCTAACAACCCTCACCTGACAGGTGGGGAACTCAGGCTTTGAACTTCGGGCTTCTCAAAAGCCACTCGCAAAAGCCGGACTTTGCACGGGATAAGTACGGGCTCTACTCTAAACATGAGAAGCCAAATTTTTCACTGAAGCACTGGGTTTTCGTCGTTTTGTATGCCAAAACAGAGGCTTTCGGAAAAAGGTCCTTCTTTTTTCTAGGGCTTGGCTGCTCCTGGTAGTAGTAAGGCCAGGAGCTACTAGTAACGTCCTTGCTACTACCCTTTTGCTCAGGGGTGGGGACGCTACTAGTAGCTCCTGGCCTTACTACTAGTAACAACAACGCTACTAGTAGCAAAGGGCATCACTACTAGGGGCGAGGGTGCTACTATCGAGCCAGCGATGCAGGAACCAGAGTTGACGGCTCCTCGGCTTCCGGACATGGGGAACCCCACCAAGCATGATGTACATTGGTTTGATTTCCAACTGACAAAGGAGGGCCATCAGGCGCTCTTGAAAGCGAACTCTCGAGCGAACATCCCGCCTTGGAAATGTGGGTTCGTTCTCCTGGTGTCCTTCCTGATGTTGAAGGGCGAAAATAACCGACTCCTGCTCCGCCCCTGAATTTCGGGCCACCAAAGCAACACTCAACCAGTCAACCCACATATGCCAACGGCGACCATATTGATGCTGATGCTCTCTCTTCATCAAACGGGGTGCCAACTGGCACCTTCGCATGTGAAATGGGCAGAGAACACTTGGGCTGATGAACTCATCTCTGGGTGGGCAAAATGATGCACCCCGCACACCTTCCGCCTGGTGAACAGGTTTTTCTAGCGCCCCTACTTAACTATTTAGGGAAGTTGGCTGCTATCTCTGTGGGCGTGCACCTAGGGCCTTGAAACTGCCTGGAGGTAGTCAGCCTTCATAGAGCCTGGTCGCCCATATCGACCCGCCAGAGGGTGGCCGCTGTCTGCTTCTTCTGCTGGGAGCTTTCTAAACCTTTTCCTTCTGTTTGAACGCAGACTCCCATGGAAGAAACTTAACAGCCACTCAAGACAAGCATGCGTGCTGCCTTTCTCTCTTCAGCAAGCAGCCAAATATACCGCCTGGAGAAAAGTCCAGGAAAGTAGAGATTTCCAGAGGAAGTGCAGAAAAGCAAAACATGTAGAGCTGTAAGCAGAAAGTGTCTTACTGGTACAGAAAAGGACACTTCACTACCACGCGAAAGAATCACCACAACTCCTGATCCTCACCAGACTACCCTGCTCCATGCCACTATAAATCACCACACACCACTTCGCAGGACACACCCGCCGCGCAACTTCAAGAAATTGCTAAGCCAGCCACCACGTCACAAGTCACCACATGGTGCACCACCGCAGCGCGAGCCACATGGCAAATCTGTGATCGTCGCATCAGCACATCATGCCTCGGGAGACGTCCGCCCCTCACATCTCTCGTCACTACATCATGAATCAGATCATCTTGTTCTATCAAACTTTTCCAGAATTGTTCCCTTGCTTTGCCTGAGATTACAGGGTAGGGGAGAGGTGAGTGCAGTTCCGTGTTCAGGTGACAGCCCACAACTTCAACCTGGTGTTGCTGAGTTTTGCACGGCCCAGGCCTGAGCACAGCATAGCCCGTCAATCGAGAATGAAGTGAAGTGCATGTGTCAAAGGATCCTGCGAAAGGACAACAAACGCACTTGCTTTTACAATATTGAGGCGACCCATTCTGAAACCGAAGGGAGAGGACCAGGCACGATCGGACCGGGCACTCCAGTAAGTCTGATTTCACATTTCGCCAGCCTCTTGGCCTGTTCCATCAATCAACCACGCGCGCACAAACCAGAAACTTTTAGAGCAAGGAGGCTCCTGCTTGGCATTAGCAAGTTGTTTGAGCAGACTAAGAATGGGTCGACCGGAGGACAAAGAGCGAGAACGTCGCAATTCAAGATTCAGCGACAAAGCTGATATCGAGGTGCTGCAAACCAGCTCTTGTAGTTAGAGGAAGCAAGTGTTGTGTTTTTGCAGCGCGTGATGTTGCATGTTGCAATGGTCCTGTAGACTCTAGACTTTGCTTACTCATGCACAGTCCATGTTCATTCCAGGTCGATGTGCGCTCTATCTCAAGGAGCCGAATCAAAAAAACACATGTGAAGAACCATGAGAAACATGGCAGATTTTAAAAACAATGGTTTCAAGGATTTTGGTGGCACGTGTCTTCACCAGGAAATCGGAAGAGTCCTTCGACAGCATGACTTCAGGACTTCGACTGCTGGCAAGTTAGCCTCCAAGTTCTTGGGTGTCACCCAGTTTGGGAGAAGTGACCACAAAAATATTTAGGGGCTTACGCCCGACAGCCAGCCAGGTGTCCCCACATGGGCAAGGGGAAAGACGGCAGGAGAAGGAAGGACGGGAGGAGGAGGAGGAGCAAGTGTTGGTGTGGGGGTTGCAGTTGTAAAAAGTGGTGGCTGCGGAGGTGGAAGGGAGTGGTTGCGGAGAGGGTGATAAAAGAAATTGTCGCGGTAGGTGGTTGCATGTGCAATCGAGGCAGCAGAGGAAAGTAGTAGACAGGGCGAAAGTTGCGAGAAGAACGTGCGGCAGGGAAGCAGTCTAATCAGCAAGACTCTGGCGGAACAGGTGAGATGCCCGTGGCCTGCCAGGTGCACTATGTCTGGAAGGGATGAACCAGCCAACTGTCAGGTATGGCTGTTTGAGAAGGAGCTGGTACAAGGGGATGGTTTGATATGGTTTGATTCAAGATGGACGAAGGTAGATTCGTAGTGAGATGCGCGTGGAGTGGAAACATAATGTTGATGGATGTGGGTGGTTGCGAAGTGGCCACGAGCAGGCGAGGGCGGGCGTAAGCAGGCGCCGAGGGTGTTGGAGTCAAGATTTTAGGGAGCTTGCTTGCTACGAGCGTGCGAGAGTAGGGGTTGGAATTGTTTGCCGTACGGCGTTTGCGGAGCTTTGCTCAGCAGTATACAGTATACACCATACCAAGCAAGAAACCGTAGTATGTGTATGTATGTTTGAATTTAGCTGAAATGATTCAGCTTCAAACGGTTTAGGGAAGGCATTTGTGCATTCTGCTGTGCCTTTGGAATCCTTTGGATAGGCGTGGGAAAACACAACTCGGTTGTTGACATGAACTTACCAAGCGAATTTACAGTTCACTGCAGCACTCCGCGCAAGAAGAGGAGACTGTGCATGGCTTGTTTGCAACCATGTGGGTCTGCAGCTGCACAGAGAGAGAGAGAGAGATAAAGAGAGAGAAAGAAAGAGTGTAAAGAAACAACTGGCGGGATGATTGGCAGTGCCCACGAGGCTTGGTGTTACATTGTTGTATCTAGTAGCTGATTTTTGCGGATTCGGGATGTTAAATGTAGAGTCACGTTAGGATCCCGATGTGGCTACGCTACAACTAGTTAGTTGGTGCTCTCAGAACCACTAACTTACAGTCAAGTTAGAGTTAAGACTTGGCTACGCCTACTTGGTTCTTGCTCTTCTTCCCTTACGCGCTCCCCCTTGCGCAGCCGGGGTTGGTGGATTTCACGGATACCAACGATTTAGTTACGACGTTCAGTCGGAGGAGGTGAAGCGGAAGCCAACGTGTGTGTCGAGGCCAGTTGGCAAACAGTTTTGGCAAGTATTATATTTCTATATATATACACACAAAACCCAGATTCAACCATATTATTTGTTGGCTTTGCAGGCCTTGTTCGTCTCACATTTACTTGCTGCTGACCGTTTCCGGCGCCATCCAGACATGTGGGAGGACTGGTTCTTGAGCCTTGTGAGCGCAATCCAGATAGTTGATGTCAAGAATTGTGTGCGTACAGCCTTGGAAAGTCTTAGCAGGTGTACCCCTGTAGAATTTCCAGAATTCAATAGCTAGTTCTTCACGTGACAGGCGTTCACAGAAGCACTTCCTCCTGCAAGACTATGTGATAGCCTGTAAAAAACGAGGGTTTGAGAATGCTCCTGAACATTCACCTGATGCAAAAAAGTGGCGGTCACCGACACCAAAAATGAAGCACACAGTAACAAAAGGTGCTAGAAGCGGGGAAAGCTGCTCAAGTGACTCACAGAGAGGCCCAAAACCAGCTTTCTTTTATTGTACTGAAGATAGCAACTATCGCAGGCACTACTGGGAGAGAGGTTTTTGTGGCTGATTGGGGTGCTCCCAGCTCCCATGCGCGCCAACAAGGCTCAAAACCTCAGCCACACGGGCACAAATTCAAAAGTGGACGACACCGCTTGGTCGGGGCCAACATCCCTGAATTGATTCTCATTCGTCATTCAGACAGCATAGCTGTATTCTTGCGTTGCTATCAAACCTGTTGCTTCCCTTTGGGGTGATAGTTGACCGCTTATCAGTATTGTTCCCTTGATTCCCTGGTTGATGTTGGTGCCCTTGCGTATCTTGGGTTCTCCTATCAAGGTAATTTGTTTGTGTTAACTTCCCCTGTCGTGGTAGCGGTGTTCTCAGTGACACCTGTCTCAGTTGCTTGTACCTTAGCTGGGATTGATCTGCTGTGCTTTCCCTCTGGGTCGGGATTGCAACATCGTTTCTTTTGCTTCAGGCCAAGAGCAACTGCGAAATATATGAGTTTCAGTGGCGAAGAAGAAGACTGGGCATGTTTGTGGCCCGGGGCTAGTTAGATTATTAGGCGCCCGCTATCAGGCCTTGACCCACTCTGCAAGATAGTCTGAGGTGATAATGTCGGACACGGGTCAGCATGCAACCTTCTCAGGTGTTGATGAATGTTCTTCAACGCCCCCATGAGTAAGGCCAGAAGATCTCACAATAAAGGAGTGATCCCGAAGGACGACACAGCATGGCGTCAGGGTATCTTCTTCCTTGGGAGAAGTGTGGCCAGTAACGAGTATCTCCTGGGAAGGGGCGGCGTCAGCCTGCGTTGTGAAGCGCTTGGCAGACACAGAGCGATTGTCGGCAGGCCAAAAAGAAGGCTGAGATTTCTGTGCCTCCAACGCCAGAGAATTGAGGAGAGATTGGACAAGAGCCAGGATGCAGAGGATGAAAGTGAAATAGGCAGTAGCGTGTGAAGATGTGAGCAGGGCGAGGAAATGGACGAAGGAGACGCAGAGGAGTTCCGGAAGATGGACATGTACAAGGCCTATGACCGAGTCCAGGAGAAGGGTGGCGAGAAGATCCTGGACGCGGATCGGATCAGAACACGCAAGCTGATGGCTCTGTTCCATGCCGGTATTGCGCCCTTTCAAAGGGGAGATCCAAGTTCAGAGCAGCGTATGTTGATAACGCCTTTTGGCCGGCCTTTTGACAGGGGTTCCCCTAGAAACCCATGAAGCCCCCATAGAAACAGCCCAAGAATCATAAGAAACCCTAATGGAACTCTACTTGGACAGCAGTGCCGCACGTGGAGTTTTTTGAGAGGCAAGGCCTGGAAAGGATGCGCCGCTTGGAGGTGAAGTTTCTTTGGGCGCAGGAGTGTTCAGTTAAGACGAACGAAGTGCCAAGCCAGGAAGCCAGGATGACACTGCGGACTTTGGCGCGAAGGCCTTGGCAGTGAACAGTTTCATGAGCTCAGACTCAGGCTGGGCTGGGCATTGGCAGCTTGGCGTGAAGGAAAAGACCGCCACGGAGCAGAAGGAGAATCGGGATTCAGAAAGCCGGAAATGGTGATGCTTGGTTTGTTGACTCTCCTGCAAAGCGCTGATGGGGTTCGACAAGAAGAGCCTAACATAGAGTATGACGGGACGTGGGGATTCAATTTGATCGCTGACTTATCATCACTGTTGTGGTGGTGCTCCAAGGTGCCGACAAGGCACATGGCTGTGAAGGGAGGCTTGAGCTTTGGCACGGGGGAAGGCTGAGATTTGGCAGACAAGGCGATCCAATGCGAACTATTCACTGGACGGTTCAGAGCAAGTCTTCTACCTTGAGGGCAGGGATGCTTTTCACATTTTTTCACACAAGGTTGCGCCATCGCCTTGGCGGCCATTCTTGCAACTTCGGTTGTGCAAGGGCTGTCCAGGCTTTGGCTTGTGATCTGGTTGAGATCTCTCCCATCTCAAGCGTGATGCAAGCGGTATGTAAAGATGGTATGCACCAACATTTCACGTTTAGTTCCTGCCCCTTTCGGCCTTACACCCGCTCCGCTGTATGTAGGCATTTTACCTTTCTCCTGTTGTCCCATGTTTCCATTTTCTACTAGTAGCTCCTGGCATTACTACTAGTAGCAAGGACGCTACTAGTAGCAAGGCACCTTACTACTAGTAACAAGAAGCTACTAATCAGTATCTTTTGTCTTCCTGTTTGGCCCGAAACCCAGTTCTAATTTGTTTCCCTCCGTGCCTTCGAACAGCTACAGACTGCACGGGGTTCAAGTTGCATTGGTTACTTGAACAGACCATTCTGCTTTAAAGGATTTAAACAGACTTTTTTGCATCCGTGAGTCTGAAGCTTCGCAAACTTCTTCGGATTGCTACTTATTTATATAACCAGTTTAAGCAATCCTTTTTTGGACTTGAAGTTTGTGTTGCAGTTGGTTGGCAAACTGTGCCAGGTCCAGGTATTGTGTCAGGCATAGTGCATTGATATTTCAATGAGGATCAGCTTAATTTTTTACACTGATCCGGTTAGCCCAATGGGGCTGAGGCATCACGACAGTCTGCTACAAATTGCTGTGTCAGGTTTGCTGTGCATGGGTCAGTTTTGCAAAAACCACATTGCCTTCTTTGAACTGTCTCCATCCAGGAAACCGATTCTTTCGTTGACAGCCTTTGGGAAGCCATCGTGAAGACGGCCCGCGAAAAGGCCCAACAGGATTTGTACACATTGTAGTGCTCGTATGTCACATCTTAGTACTTTAGGTCCGTTTTTCCACTTCACGAAGAAAAATCCATTGTCCCAGAAATCAATAAATATACAATATTCCAACTTCACGTTCGACCTTGAACAAAGCTTCCAACCCCAATAAGGTCCAACAAGGACTTCCAAGGACCACCACGTGTTGTATTGTTTTGCCGTCTTCATATGCTCACTATTCTGATTGTTCGATGTGGGCCAGAAGCGGCAGAGTATCTTCATTGAATTGGGTCCTTGCCTTGGAACGGAGCAAGGCTGAGTATACTGCTGCTGCTGCTTATATGTCCAAAAAGAGAGAAGGAAAGGAAAGAGTTTCTGCTCCTTTAAGGGGCCCTTACCTTCTTTCTTCACCTCTACGATATTGTGTCGATGTCATAAGTCATGCATGTTTAGCACAGCTCGCCGGGCTTTGCGCTTGCTGAGATCAAACAGCTGATGCAGTGATGGCTGCTCAGGCATGCTCAAGGGAGGAACACAAAGTCACAAAGAAGCAAAGCGTGACAACGAGTCTGAGCATAGAGAATTCCCTTCTGCTGTGAACCAGGTCACAAAAGAGCGCTTTCGACTGCAGGTCCCTTCGCTGATTAATTTGTATCATGCAGTCAAACTCGCTTCATGCTTCAATCTGCTTTGCAATGAGGTCCCCGAATCTCTTGTGGAAAAGGCGCTATTAGCAATGCAGCCACAAGATGCCGCTTCGCAGAATTTGAAGCAAGAGAGACTGAGATTCGGACAGTCTCATGACTTCTTGAAACATATTGACATTACGGGCCTGGAAGTTCTACGGGATACACGCACCTAAAGCATTGTCGGATTGTTCACTTTGCTTTTCAGGGCAATTTGGTTCGAAGCTCAGAAAGACTAGAGCGCTGGCGTGGTCGCAGAAGATGTGGCAGGCCGAGCTCAAGCAAATGGAAGAAAGGCTTCGGCTTCAAATGCTGACAGCAACACGCCCGTACGACACGTGGACTTCCTTGAAGTACATGGCAATCTTGAGCGTTTTTGGTGTTTGTGCAGCAGCATGCTACCCACTGCTTTGGATTGGGATGGCCTTGATTTGCTTCATGAAGAGCAGCCAGCTTTACGCTCCTCCTTTGGTCGTTTTGGCGGCTCTTGGGACAGTGTATGGATCTGGCATGTTGGTAGTCTACTACGTGAACACAAGGTTGGGGGTCCCTCTCATTGATTTGGCGATGGCCCTGAGTGTGGCAGTCCTTTGCTTGGTGGCAGTGACCATTGAAGAGCGACGTCTTGAGAAGAAAGGCAAGAGCCAGAGCTTGCTCTGTGCACAGTGGAAGTGCACCATGACACCAATTTTGACCTTATCCTGCGTTTTGCAGTTTCGATGGCCAAGCGCTGTGCTCTATGCAAGTGCTTTCGTTGTGATGCTCAAAGGCTTCAGAGCCATGCTTCTGAAGTTTTGCTGGGCAGGTTGCCCAAAAGCAGGAGAGCAAATGCGTGTCTTGCTTTCGGGTGATTCATTTCCTCCAAAGTTGGATGGTGTGCAGAACTTTGCTAGGAACACCATCCAGGCTCTTGTCCGTGACGGCCACAAGGTTCATGTGTTTTGCAGCAATGGAAGCCCAACTACTCATCTGGCCCCCGAAAACTATGGCGCCACGGTAACACGTGGTCCAGGAGTAGAAGTTCAGCCGAAGCACAAAATCACGCTTCCATCTCCTCACTTCCTGATTGCGCTGATCCGTTTCAGACCGCACATCATTCAGTTCTTTGATTTCACTCCGTGTGCAATTTTTCTTGTCCCTTTCCTTTGGTGGCTTGGAATCCCTACAGTGATCTCTCATCACTCGCGCATTGACCTTTATGCCACATATGTGCCAGGGTTCATTGGTGACTACTCTCCTCAAGTCGTCCGAGCTGCTTGCGAAGTGATGTTTCCTCTTGTGACAGGCCATTTGCTCATCGATGGTTCACAAAAGGATCAATCCTGGTTTCAAGGACATCCCAACACTCGTTTCTGGTCCACAGGTTGCGACTTGGAATTTTTCCATCCATCCAAGGCAAGCTCAGAAACACGTGCAACTTGTAGCAATGGTAGACCTGAGGTTCCTCTTGTGGTCTTTGTTGGGCGCCTCTCGCCAGAGAAGCAAGTGGACAAATTGATTGATCTTGTGAAGGTCACCAACCCTCCAGGTGAACCAGAATTGTGTCGCTTTGCAATCATCGGACATGGCGACTCATGGGAGTCGATACACCAAGAGATTGGCCACAGGCCAGACGTTTACATGCCTGGTGCAGTGACTGGGGAGAAATTGGCATCGACTGTTGCATCAGCGGATATCTTCTTTTCACCCACCGTGACCGGCACCTTGGATCTGGTCTTCATTGAGTCGCAAGCGGCCGGCATTGCAGTCGTCGGCCCTAGGGCAGTTGCAGTTCCTTTGGTGGTCACAGATGGGGTGAACGGTCGTTTGTACGATCCGCTGGATATGCAAGATGCAAAGAGGGCAATCCAAGAGGTGATCAGCGGGCAAGGCAATTCCTTGGAGAAGATGAAAGTTGAAGCTCGAAAAAATGCCAAAGCAAATTTCACTTGGTCCAAATCGTCCGATGAGGCGATCCAGTTCTACAAGGATGTGCTCCACTACTTTCAGAAAGACAGGAGCTGAAATGCTTCTGATTCTGAATTCAAAGAGATAGCTGGAGTCCAACTGCTTGAGTACCCTAGTGCTTCAAGCTTATGTGGCACCATGAGTCATGCGAAGCATTTTCAATGCGAAGCATTGTCAGCTACGTAGTCTATGTACAATTGCTCCCGTTTGGTGACTTCATGTCCGAAGATTGCCAGATGCACTGCATGTTCCTTCGTTTTTGCCGCTTTCCACGCCCAACCAGAGGAATGCCTTCTGCCCGGTCTGAAGGGATGGGCTAGTTGGAGCGTTCAAGTTCAAGGACAAAATCCTGTAGAAAAGGGCGGTGTGGAATGAGAAATCACGGCACAAGATTTTATACAAGCTTGTGTGGTGATAGTTTTGGCATGGTATAGTGCTTCGATAGACTCGATAGAGCTTTTCTAGACATTTCCTATAAGGACACCGAGGACACTCACCAGGGCAAGGCGAGGATCAGAGTTCCTTTAAATCTTTATGATAGCATAGCTTAGCTACTTTAGAGCTTAAACATTTTTGGAAGGATGTCTAGGTGTCCTCCAAAAGGGGTTGCATGTTGAGGTGCAGCTCACCAAAGAGGCGGTCAGGAACTTGATGTACCTTTGGCAACAACACGGCTGCTGCCTAAATGGGTGCGGCAATCGACAGAAGAGCAGACGCTATCCATCTTTGTTTTTTTTTCTCTCTCTCTCTCTCTCTCACTTTCGCTTTCTTTCTCTTCATGCAGGTCTCGATGCAGCCCGAACGGGAGAAACCAGAGCTCAGGTGGTGCCGCCAGCATGTGTTTTATGGAGAGTCATGCCAGAGCCTGAGCAAAGACAATCCACAAGAGACTGAAGACTTTGTCATGTGCTGGGACTTCTTGGTGTTCTCTCTGATCATATTAGGGCGTTAAGGCCCTTTGGGCGGCGCTTTGGGCCATGGGCCTAGAGCGGGCGTATGAGGTGCATCTTATGGGTGCCGTCCTCAGGATTTTTCTTCTTTGTCACTTCTCCATCTTTGCGATGGCTATTAACTTTTCAACTATATACAGTGTGTATATATATATAACTATATGTATCTAGTATATAACATATGTCAATATTGTGCCTAATGAAAAAGCTCACGTGTGCTAAATTTAAATCAATCATGCGCTGCTTGGGGATTGCGTCCTGCTGGTGCTGAACATGCTAAGATTTAGCTTATGTTTCAAGTTCAGAAGCTAGATGCCATGTGGCTGCAGCAATGTTCGATCTGCAAAGGCGTTTGTTCTCTCAAGATTCATGTCTTTTCAGCAAATTTGCGTACATACCCATGCAAATTGCAGGTGCAGTGTTGGTTGAGCAACCATTCCTGCCCCATGCGGCTTGAGATGAACTGGACATAGTTGAGCTTTCTTGTGGGAATGGACCAAAGAAGTATGCCCCAAACCTTGGTACCTCAATGAACACATCCACCATGACGACGATGACATCGCCTGAAACTTGAACAAGATTGAGCGAGATTGAAGGAGTCAGATGTCAAAAGGCTTTGAACAATGCCGCTGCCCAAGCGCCCAACCTCCCCAAAACACTGGGAGTGGCTGATCGAAAAAGCACCGAAAGGGGGACATGAACTGCGTAACTATACACGAATATAACTACTAATATGCTATTACCGTAAATACTACTGTACCTCGCTTATGGAACTGTTGAGCTTGTGAGGTTCCAGGGATGTCACCAATATCCCAGTTCATGAGCTTTTGATCACAAAGATGAGGTCATAAAGAGAAGCATTGTGAAGAAACAGCTGCACGAGCGCCTACTGAAGCCCATCATTGAGGACCAAAAGAATGAAGCCAAGCACGCGCATGGACTGCTGGGACCAGGGGCACCTGAACATGTCAACCCTTTTTGGTCGGAGAAAGCTCAAAGTGAGGCAGCTTACGACCCTACCAAGGGAATGCCCCTGCCATGGTGAGGACCCTGGAGCAACGAGCTCTACTGATGTTTGAAGCCAGCGGTGGAGCTACGACGCGGGAGTTGGATTTCGTAAAAGCGCGAGGTGGAGTAGGGGCGCCTCGTGTGGAGAGGCTGATCCAATTGAGAAGGTGGAGCGAGTGGGGCAGGAAAAGACCTGAACCACCTGCTTGCTTCTCCAACTGGAAATTTTGAGAAGAGTTGACAAAAATGAGGTTGGGCCGCTGGTGGTAGGAGTGGTGGCCATCATTGGGTCTTTTGCGCGTCCTCGTCGGCTACGTGATGGTCAAGGATTGTGAAGATCACAACTGACGCGAGTCAGCTTAACTTCGTTGGGGAGACCCAATCCAGAGGCTAGAGGCTGATGGTGAAGGCGGAGGTTGTGGAGGAACTCATGGTTTGAGGCTGGAGCAGCGACTCCACTATGCTGCTCAGATTTGCCAGCGCAGAACCCCTTAGACAGGGTTCTGGTGAGAGCGAGAGCTGTTTAGAGTGCTTTTCACCTATCAGCCGGGAGGGCTCAGCCTCAGCCTGTTGAGATCGCTGGTCGAGAGCATGCCGCCTACAAGAAGCACTTGCCTGAACTTTGGGTCGTGTGCAAAGTTGGAAAAGATGGTTGGCCAGGACTGGACCATGGGGCTGGGGAGCCAGCCGCCAGACGCTCTTCTGCAAAAGGTGCAGGCTTTGCATCTTGAAGCGCTTTCGGCCCAGTGTAAAATGATTCAAATCCAGTCGTTGCGGGAGAGGAGTGGTTCTGCATTGTTAGATGGGGTCGCTACGCTACTCACATGTTGCGAACCACAAGGAGCGATGAACAATTTCTGAGGGGCAAGGGTGCGCAAGTGGATTTGGCTACAGGTTCGGTGACGCTGCGCCAGTTGGACGGATATGGCGCCCTGCTGACAGAGTCCGCAAACGATCGCGCCACTATCAAAATGACTGGGGGCCTGCGAGGGGAGGCGTCTTCAACTTTGCCGTGGAACTGGCAAAGTGGGTGTGCGGACGTTTTCCTCGCTGGACCTCCGCGCAGATCGACTTCCTGGATGAGGTTGAATGAGTTGAATGGTCCTGGTCCAGCGCCGCTGAAAAGGAGGGAAGGATTCTGAATGGTGGGAAGAAACATTTGAGCGATTTGTAGGACGTACATGTCTTGGAGGACAACGTCTTGTTCATGAGGACACGGTGGCCCATGCTGGAGGCCACAGAAACCCGCGCAAGTGTCTGAGTGAAGAGGAACTCCCAACACCGTGTCCGTCGTTCTTCAAATTTCCAGAATATAGGATCCGGTGCGAGGAGCGCTCGGTCACTTGACATGCCTGTGCACTGCAATGAGAAAAGGGAATGACGATGGAGAGAAATGGGAACTTGAAGTTCGCCAAACTGCTGGAAGACGGTGGCGTCATCCTGCAGGCTGACATGAGGTGGAAGGTAGACTCGTTGGAGGTTTGGTGAGGATGCATGCCCGGCTGACTTCTGATGTCCGTTTCTGGTAGGGCTTCAAACTGGCACCGAAGGTCGTGAGGGATAGGGCGGCGCAAAGGTAGACCAACCTGAAGCCTCGGACTACAAGCAGACTTGACTGGACGGGTTGAGGTGGAAGTGGGAATGACTGAATTTGAAGGGGGCGATTGAGAAGGTCCGAGGGTCAGGAGAGATTGCGCCTGGGCTGGGCAGGTCCAAGAAGAGGGACGAGGTCGATGCCTGCCTGGGATTCCGAAAAAAGCGTGTATCAGTGTGACCAAACAACATATATTACTTGAAAGAAAAGTGGACGAGCTACACGATCCTGTACAGGGAGGGGAGGCCCGATTCATGAGGTTTGTGACCATAAAGTTGAGGTCATAAAAGCCAGGAAACATGTAAAGAAACAATTTCAGTTTTCGTGTGAGCAATCAGGACATACCAATAAAACCCATCATTGAGGATCAAAAGAGGGCGTGCAGTTGCTCGATGGACGCACAAACGAACTGTTGAATTGCCCATAACATACAGCAACTTGTGTGACACAAAATGGATGTTGGCCAAACTGCGGAAGCCTAAAGCTGGTACATTGAAGTGCCGTGACGTGGTTGGAAAAATCTAGCCACTATGCAGTGCCCTTTTGGATCTTGGAGGTAAGTTCTTTGGCATTTTTGACGAATCTGGGGACGACTGCCTTCAGTTCAGAGCCAAGAATGAACCGGATACTTTTGTAGGTGCTTTCTCAATCCCGACCGTCGCACCCTTGTTTGATTTTGTTTCCACAAGCTGTCATTCTGAGGTATGATGAGTTTGTCAACTTCATGGCTCATATTGCGCCAGCAGTGCCGGAGGTTGCCCACGCAAAAAGGAACAGAGCAGAACATGATTTTGTTCTTCTGTAGGCAGTTGGTTCCGGGAATTTCTTTAGAACACGTTTCATGCACAGAAACGTTTATGAGAAACTATCCAAGCAAATCCATTCTATGTTTGGAATGACCTCTCTCAAATAGCAGAGCCAGGCAGACTGCGCATCACTCTTCATGGCCGTTGCAGATGACACCTCTGCAGATATGACTCAGGAGGTTCATCAGCTGAATGCTCCTGCATGTGGTACGGAAGAACTTGTTAATTACCTCAAACAAAACATAGCACAGTTCAAACAATTCATTCAAGTGCCAGCCAGGTCTTTTTGAATTTGGTTCAGCGAGTGGGTGTGTCTTCTGACCTGGAAGCTTGGGCGACCAGTTTTGTTTTCCAGTTTGTTGCAAAATGTGTCTGTCCGTTTCATGCAAAGTTCAACACAGTTGCACCTTCTTGTTGTTTTTTGTCTATTACCTCCTTTGCTGCCATGAAATCGATGCTACCATCTCAGAGCTTACAGCACTCTGAAGCCAACACCGCTCTGTTCAGACAACGATATGTTTAATCCGCATGTGAGTGGACTAGGTCGATGTGCGTATTCATGCCATTGGTATTTGATTGTCTTAAATAAACATGTTTGGTGTACTTAGTACTTAGTACCAAACTTCACCGGTCGCGGACTTGAAGGGCACTTTATCCTCCTTTGTTTGCATAATTTTGAGCACTGAGGATGGGCTGGAGAACCTGGTGAAGACCCATCAGGAGGCCGTCAGACTTGACCTGCTGTGGCTGCCAACCCAGTGTCACATCCGCTAAGGCACAGAACAAACAACGTTGATAGATGGAGTCTCACAGATCCAAAGAGAGAGAGACAGGCCAAGGAATGTGTATGATGCAAAGGCCGAGACACTTGCATTTCAGTTCCATGTATATATTATACATATGTCTGAGCACGCCGAAGGTGTAACTGCTCCTGTACATAGCACAGGCCTGCGCAATGAACGCAAGCACACGGGAATCGCGGCAGACATTTGCTGCCAAAGGACATGATTCCAAAAATGCACCGATGCCCTTGCTACGAATAGCTTCTGCACATACAAGACTGCGGGCATCCGAATGAGCTGCTCCCAACTTGAGTCTTGAAGAGTGCCGTACATAAATTTCACGAGTGCCACACGCAGGTGCTCACAACTGGCCTTTTAGGAGGGTGCGCCTATCCAATCACGAGTCTTGATGTCATCAACGGTTTGTTTCTCAGAGAATTTGTCAACCCCAAGATGAATTTCAGAGGCCAGTGTTCCGAATTATTTCCGTCAAGGCGAAGCTTTGGTTGCTTTGGACAATCCATGGCCTCAGGCAGGACACTTCTTGCAACAGCTTTGACTTGACATCAGTTATATACCCGATTCAACGAAACATCATGAATAAAACAGTCTGAGATTCAGTTTCAATTCAATTTTTGTATCGAACGGAGGGCAAATGGATTGGTCGATGGGGACCTGACAGTGTGGAGCTGGGAGCTGAGTTTGGCACCGAAGGAGCTAGGGCAACCTTAGCCGTAGTCGTAGCCGAAATGAAGAGCAAATGAGGCTCCTTCGCTGTGGTGTCAAGCCTCGAGAAAACTCCTTTTGGATGAGCATCCAGGACTCATGAGTTGCATGGTCAATGTGTGGCACATGAACGATTTGGCTTCAGGCTCTTTCTCTGACTTGCAGGACTTTTGCCAACACTTCACAGATGTGGCAGAGGCGGAAGATCTCAAATCTCGTGCTCATACTTTGAGGCAGTGCTGACAGTGCCTCGGGCATGCTAGGCTCGCTTGATTCCAAGTTCTTGGCAGTCTGCGATGGTGTAGCCCTCAGCTGGACGGTCAAGTCCAACTTGAGATGACATTCCTGAAGCAGGTTGTCGCGAAGTAGTAGTTGACAAGCGATCAAAGAACGCAGAGTGAAATTGGAGCTACAAACTTCTCAATTGAAGCTGCTAAGGAAGCTCAAGAAGCTCCAAAGACTGTTTTTGTGCTATATTCATATGCAGACCATGTCAGGTTTCCATCTCAGAAGAACGACCCAGCTATCCATTGGTCTCGGTATCATCACCTTCTCAGGCACAGCAAGTGTCCTTCGGAACAAACCATCGGACAAAGGAAACCATTGTGCCACCACCATCGGACCACTGGAGGCTGTTTTCTGCGCCACCCAAGCGGACCCACGCTTGAGGCCAGAGAGGCGCCACACTTGCGCTTTATAGCCCCTTTGGATCACTTCGGTGCATAAACACACACAAGTAAAACGTATTAAGAAGTGAAGACGAGTGAATGTGATGTTTTGCTTTGTTTTAGGCCTCTTGTCCCGCTTGGACTTCGGGTATATCGATGTCGAATTGTGGCTCCACCACAAAACGCCACAGGCTGAAGCGCAAGAGTGAGATTCTTCAAAACCCCAACTGTCTTAAACATCAAATAAAGACAAAACAAGAACTCTGAAAATCAGAATGCATTCAAGACAAAAAGAACTTCTTGTCTTAAAGAAAATCAACTGACAAGAGTCTTTTGACACAGTTTCCTTGAAGAACTTGAATGCTTCTCCATTCCTAGCTAAGGCCAAGACTATCGGTTTTTTAGATTGATATATTTTTGATTTGCTCATTTGATCTCATTTGCGAATCCTCCGAAAAGAACAGATAATCTCTCTTGAGGCGTCAAGCAAAATGTCTCTAATCCTTTCAAGCCACTGGAGCTCGTGGCTGAGAAGCCTGCCAGCAAGGCCTGCCAGCAAGGCCTAGCTTGAGCTTTGGGACGTCTCAGATCAACCATGGCACAGGTTCATTCCGCCATGGTGGAGGTGCCAAAGCTGGAGCCGTGTGGCCGGCCTGTTTCGCTTTGCATGCTTTTTTGTTGCGTCAAACTATGTAAAACTCTTCTTCTCAAAAGACAACTTGGAGGAGCATGCTCAGATGCTCACAGATATAAGGTCGGATTGAGGTGTAGTATGTATGTAGGTTGTGGAATCAATGGCTGCTTTAAGGCTTTGACCTTTTTGTGCAACACTTTTGTGTGTAAACCAAAGCTGCTGCACTCAGTGCATGACGCAATCTTGGACAAAAACAATATGTTCTTTGCAGGAATTGCCTCTATGTCGTTTCCACTGTGTACACGCCCAGTCCTCGTGAGTTGCATTGGAGATTTGCAATATTTGCATTTGAGACAATTTCTCGCTGCTCTGGAGGAGGTTATTGTTCCTTGACTCGTTTTGACTTCTTGTTCATCTCGAGTCTCGTTTTCCAAGGCCTGATGCTGCGCCAGACTTTGTGGCGCTGAGGGTTTTGACCTCCACTTGCATGCGCTTTCGGGAGCTCTCTGTGCCAGAGTCAGCGTGACCCAAGGGATTCGCCGCTAAATAGAACTGCAGATACTCCAGCTTTCACATATTTCAACAAGAGGCATAGTTCGAAAGCGAAGCTGGGCGAGGCTTCCCATATCTATGGTGGCCCACTGATTTGTTCAGTAGACAGTAGACACTAAAAAGATGTGCCTGTGGGCTTGACTCCGCTATCGTGAGGGAAAATTAGGGCACAAGGTGTCAGAAAAGCACACGGAGCGACAGGGGATGCAAAAACTCCAATCGGTTTGCAGGTATTTCTTACAAGCAGAAGAGCAAGCCGTACCTGCCCTGGCGAGTTACGATAGCTTTTCATCTCAGGCCAGAATGTGGGGCTTTTGGGTGGCTCTGTTGCCAACAGCATGTACAGGGCTCCACAGAGGAGGATCTCCATGTCATCCTCTTAGCCTCAACTGATTCACATGGTTCACAAGATGCAAGTTTGAAATAGAGCAACTAGTGCACAAATAAGTCTTTACGTTACACATGATTTTTGCATGCTCAAGGTCAGGGATGAACACGCGAAGGCAGCTGTCACCGATTCTCGTGCCACAGGTGATGGCCATGAGCTGAATGAACATAGAGATCAATTCTACAGAGATTGTTTCATTTTTTCCCGAATGCGTAGCGAAGGATTCTCGTTTAACTCTGGGGTCCGGGGGTAGAGCGTTGTTCGCGACCCGTTGTCTCGGTGTTCGCAACTGTTTTCAACCGTCCGCAACCGTTTGCAGCCGTTCGCGGTAGGGCGCTAAGGCGCTGCCATTGCGGGAAGCTTTTGGAGAGGGTTTTGGATGGAAGCGTGACGTGTCAGATTCGTGTGAAATAGTGAGGAAACGTGTGGAGACGGGAGACGTAAGATGTTGAAGTGTGGAGGATGACTTCACTGCGCAGGCGCAGCGTTTTGTGAGATCTGCAGTTTTCTGCGCAGTCACATTGGGATTGGCGTTTGGAGAGCTGTGTTTTTGGGGCGTTGGATGTGGCTGTGACGTTGGGATTTGTGTTTCAGGGTGTTGCAACGAAGCTGTGTTTTCGTGACAAGTCTCGGCTGAAATGGCGATTTTGGTGGGCGGGAGTGTGCTCAGAACGTGTCGAGATCACTCCACACGTGTGGTGTGGTGCAAATTTTGCTGCAGCTAACATGACACAAGCAGCAAGCCGGCGGCGGAAGTTTCCTATAGGAGTGTCCCTTCGCACATGCCCTGCGGACCCCCATTTTTCCGGCCCGCAACTATGGCGTCATGCGAGCAGCCCACAACGGCGTACTCGCTCTGGCACTGTGCATGCAGTGGCACTGTGCATGCAGTGGCTTCTTCTTTTGCTTTTCATCGGTGGTTCACAGCAACGCACCGAAGTCCAAGAGTGCAGCCAATGCGTCGCCGACTCACCACATCCATTTGGTCCACACAGTGCAAAGAGTCCTGCCAGCGTGTGGCATATGTGCGGTTTTTGAACCTGATCCGAGCATGACGCGAGGCCGTTCCACAACCATCGTTCCGCAGAGCTTGACTTGCCAGGTTCGGAGCCGCCCTTTGTATTGAACAAAAACACAACATTTCGCGCGTCTGCTATCTCTCAAAAACGCATCTGGTACGAGACTTCCTTCCAAAATGCATGTTGAACATCTGCAAAACGAAGCAATTCTGCGAGACTCCGTCCAAAAATGTCACTAGATGACATGATCCAACCAGACATGAAATTGCCATTTTCATTGCGGGAACGATCCTGAAGTTGCAAAACACAATGAGATTCCAGCGACAATTCATCCACCAGCAACACTTGCAATCACATGTACAGTGCGGAAACCATCCAGGAGTTGCAAAACGCAATGGAATTCCATCAGCAGTACATACACAAGAAACAGGTGAAAACTCTAGTTACAATGGAGGGACGATTCGAACATGATCCGAGCATGACGCGAGGCCGTTCCGCAACCGTCGTTCCGCAGAGCTTGACTTGCCAGGTTCGGAGCCACCCTTTGTATTGAAAACAACATTTCGCGCGTCTGCTATCTCTCAAAAACGCATCTTGTACGGGACTTCCTGCCAAGATGCATGTTGAACACCTGCAAAACGAAGCAATTCTGCGAGCCAGACATGAAAGTGCCATTTACATTGCGGGAACGATCCTGAAGTTGCAAAACACAATGAAATTCCAGCGACAACTCATCCACCAGCAACACTTGCAGTCACATTTACAGTGCGAAAACCATCCAGGAGTTGCAAAAGGCAATAGAATTCCATCAACAGCGCGTACACAAGACACAGGCGAAAACTCTAGTTCCAATGGAGGGACGATTCGAACATGGTCCGAGCATGACGCGAGGCCGTTCCGCAACCGTCGTTCCGCAGAGCTTGATTGCCAGGTTTGGAGCCACCCTTTGTATTGAAAAAACAACAGTTCGTGCCTCTCGAAAACGCATTGCGCGAGACTTTCTTCCAAAATGCGCGTTGAAGAGTGGAGCTAGAGCTAACTAGAGCGAGATCCACCTGGAGCTAAAGCGAACCAGAGCTAGAGCTAACTGGAGTTAGCGCTGACAAGCTAGAGCTGACTGGAGCTAAAGCTGACTAGAGCTAAGCGAACCACAGCCAGAGCTAAATGGAGTTAGAGCTAACTAAAGCTAGAGCTGACTGGAGCTAAAGCTGACTAGATAGAGCTACCTGGAGCTAGAGAGCTGATTGGAACTAGAGCAAACTAGAGCTAGAGCTGTTGAAAGTCCGTAACATGGAAGTTTTGCACACTACTGTATCTTCCTTTGACGACATTGTCGCTTTTCGTGGGAGGCGCAGTGCTGCGTGCGGTTTTTGAGGTGTGGAAGTGCAATGTTTGTGGCAGGCGCAGGGAAACGTGAGGTTGCGAGGTGTGGCGGAGGTCATGTTTTGTGGCAGGCGCAGTGCTTTGTGCGTGTTGGAGGTGTGGACGTGCAAATTTTTGTGTTGCGAGTTGTGGTGGAGGTGAATGTCGCCGTGACGTTGGGATTGGCGTGTGAGTGGGTGTTGCTTGGAGGGGATGGAATCGCGAAACTGCTTGGCAGGGCTGCTTGATGTGTGTGCTCCGATAAGGCTTGCGGCTTGACTTTTGGAGGACGTCTCGTACGAAATGCTCGTTTTAGAGGGTCAACGTGTGAATTTGGAGGAAGTCTCGTGCTAGACGCTCTTTTTGCAGACTTGAAGTGTGAGTTTTTTGAGGAAGTCTCGTACGGAACGCTAATTTTGAAGACATGAGGAGGCTTTAGAAATTAGTAGTGGGTACACGAGGTCCCACAATAGTGTCCCACAAGGGTGTTCCATAAGAGTGTCCGACAAGAGTGTCCTACAAGAGTGCCCCACAAGAGTTTGCCACAAGAGTGTCCCACAAGAGTGTCCGACAAGAGTGTCCCACAAGAGTGTCCGACAAGAGTGTCCGACAAGAGTGTCCTATACAAGAGTGCGCCACAAGAGTGTCCCACAAGAGTGTCCTCCCACAAGGGGTGCCCAACAAGAGTGTCCCACAAGAGTGTCCGACACGAGTATCCTACAAGAGTGTCTTACAAGGGTGTCACACAAGAGTCTCCCACAAGAGTGTCCCACAAGAGTGTCCGACAGGAGTGTCCTACAAGAGTGTCCCATAAGAGTGTCCCACGATAGAGTTCCACAAGAGCGTTGGACAAGAGTGTCCCACAAGAGTGTTCCATAAGAGTGTCCGACAAGAGTGTGCCACAAGAGCGACAAGAGTATCCTACAAGAGTGTCCCACAAGAGTGTCTCCTACAAGAGTGTCACAAATTGGTTGGGCGTTTGTTTTTGAGTATATACATGTTTGCGTTCGGGTTCGTGGGTTCCATTTTGTTTTTATTTTTTGCAGTCTTTTCTTGCCGCTTTTTCAAAGGAAGACCCAGCAGCACTCCACTTTGTTCCCGAGGATCCGCGATGTCCAGTCAGGGCTCTGAGAACTGGCCAGGCTCCTTGACCCACATGAGCAACGGCTTTTATTTGCGGTAGTGAAGATTAGTGGAAGAGGCGTTCCTTTTCTATAGCCCAATGTCAGATTTAGTTGGCGAAACGAGGTAGGAACACCCCGAGAATGAGATGGGCATCAGTTGAGCCATTTGTTGGAAATGGTTTAGTTAATGACATGTTTAGCTGGTGAAACGAGGTAGGAACACGTCTCGAGAACGAGATGGGTATCCATTGCACCAAAACCGATACAGGATTGGAGAACGAGGTCACACCTCAAAAACGATGCTAGATTGGAGAACGAGGTAAGGAAGGCCCACGATAACCTAACGGAAATATGTACCATCGCTCACAGGGTTTTTATTTGTCACGTTGTTTTCTCGGAAATCACCGTGTGTTACATTTTGAGATCCATAGAAAAGGAGTTCTGTAGAGGTTCTTGGTCCACTTTATATACCCGAACTTTATATACCCGAGATCTTCTTCAGCATCGCAACGATACACAGATTCAGATGAATTGAAACGGTCAAACTGCAGGGGATTGCGGGCCCGAAACGGACCTCGGCTTCGGCGACTTGAACTTGAAGCTTCCACCCTTTCTTGAGGCAGGTGTTGCTGAAAACAAGCAGTTTTGATCGAGTCTTCTTCACTCTTTCGGTATTGGCGCCATTTTTCAGGACATGTTGAAGCACTGCTCTGCCATTGATTGCTGATGCGAGTCTCAGGGACGCAGGGACTCGGAATGACTCCAGCTGCGAGCTTTGCTCACAATCGCAGTGCCATGCAGTGCCTGGATCAGTTCGCTCCACCCCGATGTATCTCGATGTACCCTAGCAGATCTTCCTCCGATTATTTTAAAAAATTAAGCTTTGTCCTCTGAGAACATGCGATGTACATTCCGCTGCCAAAGTGTGCAGCACCAAATTCGATGCATTGCCAGCCAACCAGCCCACGGAAGAATTAGAGCCCTTGCTACTTTTCTTGTGGGAGAGATCCAGTGAAATGATGCTAAGGAGTTGTATGTGTTGCAAATGGAGTCCTGGAACAACTTGGGGATGTTGGATCAACATAGCCTGCTGCTCAACCAAGCTCATTGGACTTGTCCAAATTCAGCTGCCAATGCATCTAATGTGCCTACGATTTTTAGATATTCATGTGCAACAAAACCAAACATTACAATCATTACATCATTCATCAAGTGCCCCAAGTGCCCGAAGCACATTCATCCATAGTCAACTGTTCGTTGGTCTTCTGTTGCTACAGCCCGTGACCCAGTTGGCATTTGACCCAGTTGTTGTTGTCTTTTCCTTTGTGAATCTGGCTACTATTGATTTACTTGGCCGAGGTTCGCATGCACCTGCGGCTGCATCGACAGAGGCTGTCGCTTCAAATGTACCTGTGCGGAACCTCACAACTGGATGCTGTAAGACAAGGAGATCTTTGCATAGTTTGTTATTTAATGTCATGTTTTCTGTTTTCTAAAGTCCAAGCTGCACAAAGAGTGCGGCGCTAGTGACATTCTCTTCATGGAGACATGTGAGTCACCCTAAAACCTGTTTCACAAAGGAGGACTTTAAAGTCCAGAACACAGCAACCAGCTTGAGGAACATCCGCGCAGGGCTGCACGACGGATCACCACCACGATAGTACGCAGCAAGTTCACGAAGAGGATGAATAGCAACTGAATAAAGCCACATACAGGAGCATTAGACAAAACAGGTGGAAACCAGGAGACAGATTGAAACATGTTCAACTCCAGAGCCCTATTTGGTGGCTCCTTTCTCCCACCTTATCTTCCTAATCCTCCTTCACCTACCTAAAGCTCAAAACAACAAAAGGTCAAGAAGAAAAAAGAAAGAGATAGACCAAGAAAGGAAACAATGAGACACAGTGAAGAAGAATTAACTCCAGAGTTAATTCTCTATTTGCGCAAGTGGCAAAGTTGACAGAAGTATCTCCAGAGTTAACTCTTCTAGAGCTACAGGTTGAACAAGGGTAAAAGCTAAAGCATCAACACTGGGGTTAATACTATTTGACTCTTGTATTCAGCCTCTTCCGGCTATATGGGCTCACCAAGAGGCATTTACCAGAGCTCATACAGTTTCCAAACTTACAGTAAGCCATTTCATGAAACACATTGGTTCAAATGATTTCAGAAGCAGACAAAAGGGTGACACTGCTGACATTGTGCTCATTTTTGCACAGGGGCCAGCTCCAAGATTCTAGACTGACGTGAACTCTGTGAAGGCAAGCGCAAGAATCAGTCTTTTGCTACTCTCTAGTATGCCCACAAGTAGATTCGATAGACGCACACACTTATATACTCATGCCGATGTAGCCCGGAAGAGCATGGAGTTCAGCAATTTCTAGACATAGGTGAATGTGGAGGGTGATGAATCAAGTGACAAGCAACACCTCACACTCATCCCTCACAGCCCACCGACCATCTCGAACATGGTTGGCCGCCCTCAACAGAGAGATATCTTGCGAAACTGAAGGTCATGGGTGTCGTTCACGATTCCGTTGTTCCAAAATTGGTTTGGAACAGCCGCCTTTGCCAAACTGTCAAGCGCAAACTTCCAAATAGCACTTTGACTTTGGTCAAAGCTGAGACGTATCATTGACCGATGTCGGCACTTTCTCAGAGAGCGAATCCTGAAGTCAGGTCAAGCTGGTGCTGGTTCCACGAGCTTGCAAGCTAAAATAGGTTGGCCAATAGCATTGGCTCCAGGGCTGTTGACGTGCGGATAAGTACAGAGGGTTTCCTGTTTGATTGGGTTTCTGCCATTTGCCACAGGAGCTCCTTCTTTGCTTGCCTCCCGCTTTATAAGTCAGAAGCAGTTTGTGATTATATTAACAAGAAGTCTAGCTGCAGTGCTCCTTGAATGTAACGGGTTGCTTTTGCTTGGGCCCAAGTGACACCGCGTAGGTCTGCCTTGGTTTGTTCTGTGTACGCACAAACAGGGGCTTCCCAAGACCCCAAAGTCCATGCTGAAAATAATTGTCTGTTTGATGACATCCTCACCTTGGTGGCGTAGTTTGGACAAATCCCCGTGATTGTTGCTGGAGATATGCAAGCTCCACCGTCGTCGTACCCGGCTTTCGCAAACGCTTTGAACTTCCAATCCTGGGTCGACCTATCGCTGAGACTGATGAGTTTGGTGAGGTCCCGCGGCCTTCAACATTCTCTAATGATGGCACCTTCTCCGGACCGGGCGATGGGTGTACTTCGATCGATGCAGTCTTAGTTAATGGAACGGCCTTTGCGGCCCTTTCACATGCTGAGGTCATCCAACAGTTTGGAAGACAACACAGACCTATTCGTTTGACCTTCAACTGGGCCTCCTTGCAACAGGTTGGGTTTGTCCACTTCCAGTTTGCCGGTTTTGATCTTGGTCAAACAAAAGTCCATGAGCAAGAGTTTGATTCCGCGCACGAGTCCATTCTGGCTAAAGGGGCTGTGTGGGGACCTGGACCTCGAAAACGAGCCACGGAACCGGTCTTTGTTCAGAAGCGAGTCGCGCCTAAACAACTTTTGTCTCGTTGTGCAGCCACTGACAAGAGCTCAAGACTTGCAAAATTGGTCGGAAGACTTCAGGAGCTGTTCACACGACTCTCTAGACAGGTTGGAACTGAACAAGATTGCTTTCAGACCAAGCGCACGGCAATCAAAGCTTTTTGGAACTTGAGAGATCTTTCTGCCCCTGTTGGATGGACCAACCCAGCGTTTCCATCCCTGACCGAAGTGTTTCTCTCACTTAGATGGGCTGAGCAAACCCTTTCTTCCATTGATGCTCAGATTCGCCTGAAAAGGATTAAGTCCTGGAAGCAACGCATCCGTGACTCTGTTTCCTCGGGATGCACATACATTTTCCAACACCTTAAGAATATACAGCAAGATGAGCCCCCAAATTTGGTTGTCAACGACACTGGTGATGTCATTTATCAACCTGATGAGGCGCTTTCGTTTTTGAACAATGCATGGGATGACGTGTTTGGGGTCAACACTTTGTGTGAGCACCCCCTCAAAATGCTGGAAGTTGTATGGCCATATATTGCCGATAAACATCAGGAGGTTAGTCTCCCTGCTATCACCGGCCATGATCTTCACATATCTTCACCATGTCCTTCAAAAGAGAAAGGCCCACGCGGCTCCTGGTCTCGATGGGTGGAGGACTCTTGAACTTCAAACCTTCACCTCTGCGGAATTAGACCCGGTGGCCCACTTCTTTAGCTTGATTGAGTCTAGTCACCTGCCTCTTCCTAAGGCTTTAGTGTGCGCAAAGCAAGTCATCCTTAACAAGCCTGGACCAGCAACGCCTCTCAATAAGCGTTTGATTACTGTCCTTCCACCACCCCTTTTGGCCTATACTGGCAGTAGATACGCTCAACTCCAGCAATGGCACAGCGTTGCAATGCCAGATGCCATCCTTGGAGGCATCCATGGACGGTACATGTCTTCGCTTTACAATGATATGCGCTTGCAGATCGACAGTGCCAAGCAAACCCATGTGACCCTTGTCGGCGTTAAGCTAGACAAAGCTAAAGCCTTTGATCGCATTGTCCCTGCATTTGCTGCTGCGTTGCTTTTAGCGTTTGGAGTGCCCAAAGGAGTTGTGAGTATTTTCATCAAACTGTATCAAGGACTTCACCGCCATCTCTCATATCGAAAATGGGCCTCTCCCATCTCTACAACACCAGCCAATGGTGTGGCGCAGGGATGTTCATTTTCTCTATTAGCGATGAATGCATACAATAAAGTCTGGTACCACCTTGTGGAAAACTTGCCACACATTTGGGTTCGTGCATACATCGATGACGCATACATGTGGGCCAAACTCGAGCATATTGAATATCTTCAGAAAGCAGTTGAAGTTACGAAGGTCTGGGATAAACTTGTTGGCCAAAAACTTAATGAAGGGAAGCCCTCACTTTGGTCGACTTCATCCACTGGCCGCAAAACTGCAAAAGCTACTTTCCCTGATTTTCCCCTTGCTCTTGAGGTTGAAGTGCTAGGCACCAAAATGTACATCTCTGACAGAGATGCCTTTTGCTTTGAAGAGAAACGCTTAAAGAAAGTGTTGGCTGACGCGGATAACATCGCGGCTTTGCCAGTCCCCCAACACACCAAGGTTTTTCTCATTGGAGCAAAAACCATCCCGCAAATTGCATTTGGGGCCCATATTACCAAGATTCCCCAAGCCGCCATGAACTCAATTCAGAATGCGATTGCAAGGGCACTGTGGGCTGGAAGACCGAAATGGCGTTCACGTCCTTTGCTGCAGGCCATTTTGGCCAAACCGCACCGTACTGATCCCAAGATTGCTTGTGCCGTTTGTTCGATCCTCGAAATTCTAAGGATGTGTCAGTCCATGCCTCACACACATGAGCTTTAGCGGCAGACTTGGATCAACAATCCTGGCACTCATTCGTTAGCCAGCAAGCTTCAGACCGCAGCTTTGACCAGGATCTCCAAATGTCCTTTTGTGGATCTCAACCTGTGTCAATCTTTTCGGTTTCTGCCAAAGAGGCCAATAAAGTCCTTCAACAGATAGCTAGACAAGCTTGTTACCAGCTTGCGAATGCTCGAGCACGGAAGGATTTTCTTCCTACCAAGCGGATTTTCGATTTTCATCAAACAACTGCTCTTCTCCATAAACTTCCACGCGAGCCTGATTTTTGTGGGGTTTCACAAAAGAGCCGGTTAGAGTCTGTCTTAATTGGGGGCACCTTGACCAACGACAGACTTGCAGCTTCAGGATGGGTTGCAAGTGCTGAATGCCGGTTTTGTGGCCACGCAAAGGAATCCCTTAGCCACCTGGTTTTCGATTGTCACCATGTCCATTCAGTTATTGGAAAGCCGCGCAGTGATGAGCTTGGACAGAATTTTGCCATGTTAGGACATGTGGAACATCCGGTTTTTATAGCAAAGCGGAGACTACAAATTTCTTGGGCTGCTGACTTAGAGGTCCCAGGTGACTTTGATATAAACACCTGTCAACGCATGTGGACAGACGGCTCTCTTGTTCACGGCCAGAAGTTTTGGCTAGCTACAGCAGCTTTTGCTGTAGTCAACGCTAATCATGAAGTAGTCAGACAAGGGCTTGTTAACCATTGGGCACTGTCCGCCTACGCTGCTGAGGTGTGGGCTATCATTGTGACCTGCGTCACTGCAACAACAAAACTTCAGATCTTTTCTGATTGTGAGACTGCCGTTAAGCATGCCAACATAATTGTTGCAGGGTCCTCCGTACCGCCCACATGGATCTGCCAAGAGTGGTGGCGAAAGCTTGCACATGTTGTTGCATTGCGTACAAGTACTGATACCCGTCCATTCGAAGCGCCATGGATCCCGGCGCACTGCTTTGAACATGTTCCAGATGCTCTCTGGACAGAGGACTTGGCGAGATGTAAACAGACGACAGTTGAACATATTTATAACAACAGGCTTTGTGATCGTGCAGCTAAGCAACTTGCACAACGGCTTTCACCGGTTGATTGTCAGGTTCAAATACAAGCTGATCAGATCATTGAGCGACATCAGAGGTGGCTTATTGAACTTCATTCCATGTTGCCCACACCAGAAGCACCTCCTTCTGGGTGAGGTTGGTCATGATGAGAAAGACTTGTCACCTGCTATTTGTCAAGTGCGCTTTCCACAGTGGCCTTGGGGTATTTCCTGTTCTGCATTCCCGTGGAAGCCAAAGCTCCCCAATAAGCTTGAACCGCCAACAAAGTGGCGTGGCTCCCACACGGAGTGGACCAACCTGGTGAAGTTCTTGAAAGGTCTGCGATGGAGCGTTGACCCAGGCCTCTCGATTTCATTTTGTGAGTTGGCTCTGCTCTTTCATTTGCGGAATTTTCAAATCGATGGCGACCAGGAACAAGTTACTTTGTACGATATTTACAAGTTGTTGCGTGACAGTATGTTGTTTTTGTCCAAATTGGACACACTCCAAGCTTTTCCGGGAGTGTTCCATTCGACGAAACCACGTTCTTGCGGCAGAGTCTTAGCACAAGGGTGCATTGACGGAGCATCTGCCTGGATGACGGATTCGGAAAGGGTTCAGTTGGCGAAAGCCTTCGCTCTCGGCGCTGGCCGTGAGATTGAGTCTTGGAGACTCTGTGTGTGTGATTTCTAGTTCTTTCTTGCGCTTTGACCTGTGGTTGGGGAACTCGCTCAATCCACGTTTCACGGAGGATTCGTGAGCGCACGTGATCGTAACGCCTTTGAAAGCCCAAGGGCTTATCGAACACCAGAACTACACAATCATTTGCAATCAAGGTACGCAGTAGAACCAGAATTGTTCTCGGAGATGGAAGGAACTGCTGCCATTTCAGAAGGGTAGCATCCATGCAGATAGGTTTATATACATCCAATTGCGCCTGGACAAGTTTCGAGACACGAACCAATTTAACCACGCAATATCAAATGGTGTAGCCCATGCCACGTAATAGCCATCGTGCTCTTTTTGGAGGCGAGTCTTGAAATATTGGCCTTGGGGCCTCAGAGAACGAGGTTCTCAGAATGCTGCTCTCGAAGAGCTTGCATGTTTTAGATACAATGCATGCCCGTTGTGCATATTTACTCAACGTGTTACTTTGCCTTTTGCAAACAAAGACCACAACATTTGGTAGCACTGCCAAACATGTGCAAATGCATGTGCGCGCAAAGACACACACACACACTGAAAACCGCCAATGCCCGGAAGAGGCCTAAGCAAGGTGAACCTCAGTGTGTTTAAACATCGACGAAGAAGGGCAGCCTGTAACAGCCCCTCCTCACGACTTGACCAAAAAGGAGTCGTGTCACCTAAAAATGTTCCAGGCCCACCAGTTGGAGCAGTTGCGTAGAGAACAGGAGGTGCGATTCATTAAATGGAACAGTCGGCACGACCCCGCGACTCCAGGGCTGTCACAATGTGCACCAACGTTGAGAAGTGGTCGTGTCAAGCAGGACCTCTCCCAACTGTACAGCCTGGAAAGAAGAGCGCGTCAGACGACACCATCGATTTACACACAGCAGCGTCCAACCATCAACTGATATCTCCGAAACAGCATGCACAGCAGCAGTAAACAAGATCTAAATTGTTCTGTGGTCAGCTAAGCCTGTTGCCGTCACTCGCGCACATGAAGTCTAGAAACTTGCTTCATGCTTTCCTGTGCCATCCAGTCGCTCACGGGTGCTCTGCTGGAATGGATGTGGCGTGATTTATGGTAGCAAAGTAGCACAAACAGGATACACAAGTTCGATTTCTCCTTTGTCTTGGGACATTTTCGATGTCCATGCCCATTGGGTGGCGATCTTGGTGAGAAATCTTGGCTAGGTCGCAATGGGCAATGGCCTTGCTAAACTTGTCTTTCAGCCTCCTCAATCTTCGCTGGCCTCCAAGAGACTGAAGTTTGATCTTGCAGCCAGAGCTAAAATTTCCAAGGTATGGCAAAGATCCGAATCTCTTCTGGCTAACAACCTCAAGAGAAGAGGTGCATTTCAACATGCTTCGGCTGTCAACATGTTCGATGTTGCTTTTTGCTTCGAACATCCTACATCTCCAGGTCATCCCAGCTTTCTTCATCCGACGTCAGGATTCTCAGTGGAAGCCTCAGACGAGAGATGAACCAGCCTAATTTACCATTTGAATCCATTTGATGTCATCGGTATCACTTAGATATCCAGTCGATGGTTCATAAAGTGTTAAATGTGTTTGTTCATAGTTGCTTTAGGATGCCAGACAAGATCGTAATTCCCTGTGATGCTTTTGGGATTGTGTGAACGTAGCTGGACTGAGCTTTTCAGAAGCATTGATCACGTTGACCACTGAGTTTTACCTTGCTCTTCAGCCACGGCAATGCCGAAGATCTTGGCCTCATCATACGGTCCAGCCGCGTTGAATAACAAGAAAGGTGGACAACATATGCATAATCTGGAGGTACTTCCGTGAGCTCAGCCATATCCTCCATGTGAACGTGTTCTCATACGAGTGGCTTGTCTGATTTGTTTGCAGACTTCGAGTGGGCAAGTCGCCTCTTTGGCAAGGTACACTGGCTACGGTATGAGCACTGGGCAACCGCAGGACTTTGTGTTCCAGAATTCATGGATCCGAAAGGATCCGATCAACAATATTCTGTGACCCTTTTGTGAGCCACACCCAATTTCGCAGCATGTGCTTGTCCAATGAGATGTACTGGCACTTGATTGTACCCGTACAATATGTGTGAGAGGAAGCCGCAGTGTATGCGGACATCGAAGCTGCCTTTAAGACCCTTGACAGCAAGTGGTCAAAGAATATCAAAGCCATAAAGATTCTCGCTAAGGTACCTCCGCGAGGAGCTTCGCTGAGTTCTTAGAAGCAGCTGAACAATAAATCAACTAGCATTATGCCCAGATAAGCACAGTGTGTACAATGTAGAAGTGTAATTCAAGCTTCACATCTGATCTTCAGACAGCCTTGCCTAGCAGCCTAGCTGCAGTTGCTTGCACCAAGGGATCCCTTGGTCACAAATCGTGCCGTATGGCAGATCCATTGGAACTGCGCCGTCGATACACCTGGCCAAAACCGCACCAGTCCGGGGAATCGCCCGGAGTCCTGGTGTGGTGATTGGTTGTATATATTATGTATACTATATACGTATTTTTATAGTATATTAGATATAATAGTTTTAAAGACAACATGTTTTTAAGACAAAGGAAGTTTTGCTGCCAGATTCTCCAGAGCCCCATGGTGTCGATCTACAGAATACCGCTGCAATCTCAGCACTGTGCGTTTTTCTACTTTGAAGGTGATCGTGTAGTACGGGTTCAGTTTTCTGGGTCCAGTCTTGGCCAGGTTCCGCTTGCGCTTTACCCTTCCAGGAGACATTTTCACCAACATTGATAAGATTGGTGCATCGCTTGGCTTGACAAGATTGATTGGTCCTTTTTGACACATTCTACATGTAGAAGTTCAGAGAGGCACTTCAAGTTTCAAGCTGAGGCGATGTTTGCTGCCCTGTGTGGCTTGTCAAGAGTTTTGGCCAACGAAGTCTTAGGTCATAAGTGCGTAAGAGACCTTGGGTTGCAGACAGCATGAGGTTCGTGATCCATGGCACCAGGGATGAAATTGTTCCCGTGTGGCATGGACAGGCTTCCGAGCTGATGAGTCTGATGAGTCACCACAAGTCTTTTCTGGTGCTTTTGTTTGTTCTGCAGGCTTTGCACGAAATGTGTGTGAAGAAGGGCATTGCTTATGAAGCATATGTTGTGGAGGTGCTCAAACTGTTCACCTGCATGATACTGAAGCATTCGCCACCACCGAGAACCGTGCACAAATTGTTGCAGGGCGGAGATCACAACAACTTGGAGATGCAGGACTCTATGCTTTGGGTTCTGTCCTCCAAATGTTGTTCTAGAAGTTCGCAGAGTCTCCATTTGCACAGCATACCAGAATTGGTACTGGGGTAGGGTCGCCTTGTGTTGCAGGCTGGAGATGTGTTCTACGAACGAGTTGCGTTGCGTTGGCAAGTGTTTCAGAACGTTGCTGAAAGACCGGCAATTCGAAGAGAATCTCAAGAATACTTATTTACAATGATTCTAGCCAGGCGCTTCCTGGAACATTTGAAGCGCGCTGCCATCTCTGAAAAGTTGCAGAGACAGGCTGGAAGTTCGGTATGGGCAAGGTCTTGGAAGAATCCGGAGAAACTCTGGCTACTAGGAGCAAAGGACGCTACTAGGGGCTCCTGGCATCGCTACTAGGAGCAAGTGCCACGCTACTAGGAACAAGTGTCATTCAAAATCGAGCTTAGCAGCTTTTTGAAAACGAAGCATGTCCCACTTTCCAGCCAAAGGCCGAACGCGCTGGCTTCTGAGCCCTAGCATTTCAGCACTGCACAGGGCTTGTTTAGCAACCTGTCCAAGAATGAGATTTCCGGAAGTCATACAGTTCCACTTCAGGTTGGGGATGTTGAATGGGTATGGCTCATTTGCCCTGTTGGGTGCTTCAGACAGCTTGACACAATGCTTTCACGTGCCTTGCTTCCAAAATCAATGTTTAAGTGGCATCATGCTGAGCGCGTGCAATGGTGACATGGGAAACAATTCCTGTCTCATAGAATTCAGTCCATGGCCTGGCTCAAGCAAAGATGAAAGCTCTATGCTGACAGATCCCAAATCTGAAACGATTGTCCAACCACAGCACGACACACACACGACAGTTGAGAGAACTTCCGAAGTTGCAGAACTCACTTAGCCATCCGATCACAATATAAATATATGCCGAGTGCGCGTGGAGAAAGTGCGAGACAAGTGGCTGATAAGGAGTGTGTGCTTTGAGCATTGCATAGTGGAGTTCTGCATGAGATGGACATACACGGAGGCCTTGTCATGCACAGACTTCTATGCGTGCGGCAAGTTTCAAGCCCAGAGTGCACAATGAGGATGCTGTGCCAAAGAGTTGCATCGAGGTCATGACGAGAAGCCTCATTGCAGGCAAAAGTCCTGCAATTGCCAGGCTGGAAATGGACTGGAAGGCAACATGCTTTTTGGAATATCTGAACCAAAACAGAAGTTCTGTTTTTGATCTACGCTATACTTCTCGCAGACGACAGAGGAGGCAAAAGAGCCTGTGCGAAGAGGTTCAGCCGGCAAAGGCTTATGGAAAGGGAGAGGTTGAACACATTTTGGAAAAGTGGAAGTGTGATGAAGCGTGATGAAAACACAAGATGAACGAATTAAAGAGACACATTCATTCACGATCATTCACGTTTGATTTTGCTTTTCCTGTTTCATCTCTAATTTGGCACTGATCCAAAGCTGCGCTTGGTGTTCCATTCCATGTTTGAGGCAGTGGGGTTGATGCTGCGATGGCAGAAGCCATTGGGGAGGCCAGACAACCATGGCACCGGCAGCGTAATTAAGATTATCGAGCCATACAGGGCCACAAAGCAGCACTGTGAGTGTCATGTTCTTTTCTCTTTCAGCAAGTCTTTGAGCCATAAACCATGGGCCACGCTGCCATTTGGGTGATTAGAAGGAGTGACACAGCCACCGCGCAGGTGCTAGCTGAGAGCTCCACATGGCTTCACGATGGGAGATTGTAGCTTGATCGCAACACTCTTGAAACTCTTTGCTGCTGACTTTAGTTGGCCTTTGTTGCACATGATTGCAGCAAGGTTTGAGCCGAAAAGCAGGCACCCTCTTTCAGATCACAACATCAACTGCAAAAAGGGTCTGAAAAACGCAGCGCTTCCAAGCACATCCGACTGCACGAACGCAGAATAGCATCGAGGCAGGGCCCTCTGCGTGACAACCGAAGAGGCCGGAAAGGCACTTGGCTCATTTGGCATTTTGTGCATGTCTATCTTAATCTAGCAAGCTCTACACGCTGTAATTCAAGACCCATGTGGTGTGGAAGTATTTTTTGTGCAACAGACGAGGTGAAATGTGAATTTGACAAGTGACGAATCCGTGCAGACTAAGTCCATTTTTTACTCAAGGCTCCAGACCACAAGTACATCCGTGCGAGCGGATTGCTATGCAAACCCGGCGACGCTTTTCCAGATGTGTTCTTGTTCTTGATCTTGGAATCAAGTTTTTCTTGACAGGTTTATCGTTGTTTTCTTCGTTTTGGTGCTTATGTCTGCATTTCTGCAACTGTCGCAGCCATAGCTGTCTTCTTGAACATGTTTCCTCAACTTCTTCAAGTTAAGCTGATAGCTTCAGGCACTTTCCCAGTTTACTCGAGTTTGGTGCATGGATCTTAGTGCAAACAAGCAACTCATCTAGAGTCTAGAAATGTTGTTTCACCAGAGCTCAAAATTCGTCAAGCCGGGCAAGCCATGTTTCGTTGGAAAAACGTCCAGAAACAGACTCTATAGACGATATGTATCGATATGTGCACTGAGTATGGGCCACATGGGGGGGAATGTGTGGATGGAGATGTCTTAACCGAGAACCTGCTAAGTCCATTAAGTCCACGGCCTACAAAGCAAGGATACAGGGACCAGGAAACGATCTTTGAACGTCATGAAAGCCTTTCGTGACACGAACTTCTCCATTCAACGGAGTAGTGCCATGCAAGAAATCACGCTGAACATGTTGCGGTTCTGGCTTAACTAGCCGCACTACTAGCCGCTTGCCAATCGTTTTAGTATGTTTTAGTTAGGAACTGAAAACAGAAGCATGAAGGTGGCTATGGCGGTTCTTAGCTTAGATGCAAGCCATGCAGCAGGAGAAAGCAGGTACAAGAGAGTGATCAGCTCTCACTTCCCGTGCAAGGAGGTAGCTTCGTTGGACATGATTGTGCGCCATGTCCCCTTGCTAAGAAGCCTTTGGCTGCTAAAGCATTGCACGCTAGTCCGCTGCTTGCAACTCATTTCCAGCAAAGTATTGCAAACTGGTACAGAAAATAAGTAATTAAGAATGTGTAAGGGAACCGCACGTACTAGGGGCGCGCACACACACACACAGAGACACACCGGAGAAACATGAATCAGCAATGCTGATTCGTATTCGGTGGGTTATGGAGTAAGAGTCTGTAGTAGTCCCTGTGCTGCGCGAGCTTCGGATGAAGATGAAGCCGGCGTGATGTTTCAAAGGCAATGTGGTGTTTTTGCTAACTGTGTGATCTCCAAAGCATCGCAAGGTGTCGAGAGTTCGCGCCATGTGCAAATTGTTCATTCTGAAATGGATTGCTGAACAAACAGTGAAACATAACTACTGGCATTGTGGTTGTCATCGCTTGAATAGCCGAAAAAAAGATGTGTGCTGGGTCTTACTCGGATGAAGAGCTTGACAATGGGAATGAAGCTTCCAAAAAAGCATTGCCATTGCTGTCGCCGTCGCCCTAAAACTGTAGATAAAGATGATAAAGTTGCTGGTACACCTTGGGTGAAAAGGGTCTTCGTATCCCGGTGGGCTACAGAATGCGCTGGATTTTTTTTTTTCGAAGAGTCTGCCGACTGACACTACACTAAAACATGTTGAGAACACAACCCACTAACAGCACCACACAGCCAGGCTCTTCATTGGTGATTAGTTCGTGGTGGGTGGAGTGACCCCGTACTTCTGTACAGAAACTCAGAGTCGAAAAAGAGTGTTTGAAGTCCTTGGAAGCAGGTGCTCACATGCTCACACTTCAGATTGGAGCTTGGAAGGAGCATACTGCAGTCAGTAGCCGCGCCGTTTACAATCTATTTCAATACCGGTCTGGAGCCCTTTAGTGCAAAACACCGCACGAGACAGAGTTGTCATGACATAGGATTACAAGAACTAATTGGTTTGTATTTTTTAAACGTGTCCAGATTGAATCTGTGGAGTGGGATTTTGACTTGCTGTAGGCGAAGCATATCCGAAGCATACCCTCCGAAAATGCTACTACTTTAGTCTTCACACGGAATCATCAAAGCATACCCCATAGTCAAACATGCCGGCCCGGGAACGTTAAGAAGCTAGGTCCACGGCTCATAGACGGCCGTGGGGTTTTGTAGGGCTTTTGGCGCCGCAGACGTCTTAAACCTTTAGCGAGACTGGGTTTCTGACATGCTTGGGAATTTGTAGTGGTGAGACCGCAACCTGACTGGGGAGAGCTGAACATAAGCGTTTTGCTACGACACGTTTTGTTAGTGTTTTACTCATTCCAAACTTATGTTTTGTTTTTTTCAGAGTGGATGTGTTCTTAGTTTTTTTTTGGAGCTTGATTCTGAGTGGGGGCAGATGTGGAAAGTTTCAATTTGAGCGTTTGGCCATAGGAAAATGCACGGTTTTTACTCCAAGTTCTTTAAGAGCATGTGCGGAGAGTCTCTGAGGTGCTGTTGTCGGTATGCATACATGTAGACGTACTCAGAGACTCTCTCATTCAGCATCAGCATGCTACCATAGGCTGGAAAGTCTTCAGACCTAAACACGTCCAACGACTGTGTACCTGCAAGACGCGGGTGTTCTTTCCATATGGTTCAATTTCCTTTGCGAAGACTTTCTGTTGAAAAACAGTTGCGTAGCATGTGCAACGTTTGTCATTAAGCCGACCCCCTACTCCATGTTCTCGCAAAGCAAATCAGTTATAACAGTTGCATGGCATGTGTGTAACTCTCAAGGAAACCTCAAAAGTACTGCAAAAAAACAGAAAAGCAAACAAACGCACGAAACTTCACGGCCATCTACAGGCCTTGGTCCAACTACACACCCTGTTAGACGATCTAGTTAGTAACTGCCCGGAACCGGGCAATTGCCGGATCAGATTCGACTTTGCGTCAATCAAGGATCAGCGTTTGGGATCAGATTCTAATCGGCCGGATCAGCGTCGTAGGATCAGATTCTAGCGGGACGGTCGGGATGGTCGGCACGGTCGGGACGTTCGGTGCACAACCAGTTATAACGACAGTCGTACCATGGTGAAGTCGCGAGGAAGACTTTACCTAGCCTGTTGCACAAGACCACAAATTGCCGTAAGTGGTTTGAGATGTTAACCAAGTTGGGTCACGAGTCGGGGTCGAGAGTTGGTCAATCGGGCTGGGTCTTTTTCCACCCGCCATGTTTTTTTTCTCGCCCGCTTTCCGGCCGGGGGTGTGGCGAGGTTCACGGTTCCATTCCTCCGCCCGCCGGGGCTTTTTTCCCGTCCATTTTTCGGTCGGGGATGTGGCGAGGTTCACGGTTCCATTGCTCCGCCCGGCGGGGCTTTTTTCCCGTCCATTTTTCGGTCGGGGATGTGGGCGATGTTCACGGCTCCATTCCTCCGCCCGCCAGGGCTTTTTTCCGGTCCATTTTTCGGTCGGGGATGTGGCGAGGTTCCATTCCTCCGCCCGCCAGGG